CTGCGTCTGGAGAACTGCAGGTAAGAATTTGATCGTTGCAAAGTTGCCAAGCCGGTCATCTACTCTTACTCTTACTCTTACTCTTTCTGGTGTTCAGATAGTTTGGAGCGGCGCGAAGTAAAAGGGGGCGCGAAAAAAATGAAAACGAGGGAGGGGAAGAGAGGAGAGGGAGTCGCCACTCTCCCCAGTCCCCCTCTATTTTTCATAATTTGCTTTACTACTTCGCGCCGCTGCCACTTATCTGCAGAACGCCGGGAAGAGGCTATCTGCGGTCAATTGTCCGTGCCTAAATTCTCTATGTCATTTCTTACATTCTGATACAAAAATGACACGGGTTGCTCGTCGATTGGCGTGGGTTAAAGTTTGTTTCACCCCGCAAACAGGTAACCATTCTAAAACGTAACCGGTACTAACAACTCCTGAATTGCGATAAAACACTCTTTTATTAACTGAAAAACAATTCTCCTGACTTCAAGGCTCTGAATTGCCTTTAAAAATGTACTGCAATCACTCTACCAGCGTCATTGTGGATTTTTGCACCCTAAGCCGTTCAAATCCACTTTTATATTATGGTATGACGACCATCCACGTCATCTTCATTTCTATTTTTATTCCCAGTTTTTGTACGTTTAAAAATTCACGGCTATAATAACGTTAAGCGACCCAGTGGAAACCTTGTAGAAAATGCTCAACTATCACAAGAATTCAATGTGTCAACTATCATGGCATTTTGAGTGACTTTTTTTTGTCCTGAAATTGAAAGAAGTCTTCGGAAAAAGAACGACTCACACCAAAGGAGTAAAACCAGACCTAAACCGAATTCGAGGACTTTTCAAGACGACCAGTAAAATTCAAGACCTTTTCAAGATTGTACGGCGATCCATGGTACAGTAAAATCCCGCGAGTAAGAACATGGTTTTTAAGAACCTGTTAGGCTAAAATTTGTCAGTTAGGTCTTCTCTATACAATAACCTGTATCGATCTTCCTAGCTCTTGCTCCTGTATTGTCGTGTGTCTTACGAAAACATCTGGGGAGGAGAGGCGTAGGTGAAATCCATGTTCCTCTGACTTTATCACACAGTAAAAAACCCCAGGTAAGAACCTCCATTTTTCCAAGTTAAATAGATTCTTACATAAATGGAAATTAGCACAAATTTAAGCTATTTAGGTTCATAAATAGGTTGTTATTTTTTGAAGAAAACAATACATTGCAGCTAAGAGTATTTAGTGGCATTCATCTTACTTCCTTATATAAAACGTTACATACCATTACATAGCAGTTGGAGTGACTAAGGCACTCCTAAGAGGGTCCTTAATGTTGACTTATCTCGGTTTGCCCAAGTGTACAAATTTTTTTTGTAGGTTTTAGAAAATAAGCAAATTCGGGAAGGAAAAATAGACGAACAGTGGTAATTACCAAACCAACCGGGTGTAAATATGAATCTTCTGCATAACTCATGAAACTATGGAAATTGACGTGGTGGTAAAACAACCCGCTACGAAGCATATTCTAGTCAGACTAAATGAGTTGAAAAAATTCCATCGCCTCAAAAGACAGCCCATACTTTCTGAAGCTTCCCAAACCGAAAGGCGCGAGCCATTTGAATTTCTGGTCTTCCGCCTACCCATCACACCCTGCGCGCGTTTAGGGAGAGGTTCAACAGAGATGATTGACTGAGGATAAGTCATGATGTAACCACCAATCTCACTGTTACGCAGAATAGACTTCCGCCCATTAAAGGATAGATAGAGCGCTGTTACCATATATTGGACATGAGCTGCCAACAGCAGCCCATCAGCAAATGGTTTATTCAAGCAAAGCTTTTTACCCACCGCCGTCATTTAAGGCAATAAAGTGAATGTAAAGGCAAGCTCAGGGCCTCTGGATACTAACAGCGTACCAAAGTTATTTAATTAAAGAGGCCTCTGGAATACGAAACCAATGAATACGATGGACAACGCACGTCAGCATGAAAGTTCTTACATTTGAACATCGAAAACATTTTATTTTTCTTTTATCAAAATACTTTGGTACAGTTCATGAAAAAGAACACTTCTCACTTAAGTGATCAAAGTAATATCACGAATGCTTGGTTACACCTCACTGTGCTCAGAATGGCCTTACGACAGTTACGACTCGACCAATCAGAAATCAACCAAATATCGGAACTTGCTCGTTAGGCGGTTTTCCCGCCCTTGCAGCGGGCGACAACAAAGGTCTTCGAGTTGTGATTCGTTATTAAGGGGCAGCTAACAAGAATTTTCCAAAGTTTTTGCGTAGTTACGATACTGAAATGGGTTCAATCTACAACAGTTACACTCGCTTGTGAATGGTCCGATGATCAAGTAGACAAGACTCGAAGGTAACAAACCCCTTCAGTAATGGATTTGAGCGATGTTTCCCATAATTATAGCAAAGTCAATTAAAACGTCTGTTCGACTTCTCTCAAGTTTCATCCCATGGCCACCCCATTTTAACCAACCTACCTATTCTTTAACAAAAGCACTTTTTCGAACATATTTTCTTGGGAAATAGTGAAGCAAGGCCAGGTTCAGACACCGAACTTTTCATGAGCCGAACCAAATTCGAATTAAGGCCGACCCAAATTATTTAGACCGGCCTCAATTGACTCAAACGCCGATCTTAATTCCAGCTGAACTAAACTCAAAAGGTGAAAAATGCTCATTTCGGTCAAACTGCTCGCAAAAAACATAATAATTCATGCATTAGGTTCGGCACATGAAAAAAATCGGCTTCTCCATCAATGCCGGTCAAAAGTCGAAATTCCTCGACGGGCTAGGCTGGAAGTACGGCTGACCCGTTCCAAATTGAAACAGGCGTTCATCATTGATTCAGACGCCAACCTATTCATGTATTTAATGCAATGTTCTAGGTTCGGCTCATGAAAAGTCCGGCTTCTGAACCGGCCCTAACTTAGCAAGACGTGGCCACTATCGGCATCATGTCCATTCACAGGCGAAAAACCGGAGAGAGCAACTTCCGTGTACTTGTGTCACGGCGTTTTCACCCATCAGTTTATTTTTAGAAAGATATTGGCGCGAATTCAGGACATCTTTAAAACCCAATATATAACCAGTCAGCAAAACTTTAACTCCTGCAAATGCTTTTTTTTTCCTTTTAATGTCGTTCAATTTTCTTTCGTCATATCTTATACTTCTAATGCACCCATAAACGGAGCGGAGCTTCCATTTTCGGCAGAAATATTACGAAGATGTATCTAAAAATAAACCGTTCTTTGAAAGCGTAGTGTTAAAGTTGCTCGCTCCGTACTATGGGCTCCTGCAAAAACCAATTTTTGCGACATTAAGCTTTTACTAACTTTCCTTTGTTTGGTTCTTTACTAAATTGAAAACGCTGATTAATTGATAACAGTGGCGAATGTTCATTTCTATATCAAACATGCCGAGACCCGCCGGGCAAAAATTAGTATTTTCCACAATGCTCCCATTTGATCTGGTCTGCATTGATGTCCCCTACCCGCTCCCCCCACCCCCCACCCCCTCCCCCCCCCAAAAAAAAAAAAAAAAAAAAAAATACGTGGGGAAAGTAAAGAAAACCTGGAGGTCTCTGAATCCACCTTGAATAAGTAAATTGCAATGAATTAATCTTTGGAATATTATTAAATAGTACTGCTCTCGTTTCGCTAGTTTGAAACTTTGTATGAAAAATGTAGTAACATTCCTCTGTCAGACGCTTAGCCCGATTTTACAACGAAGATCCGACGACGACGACGACAACAACGATAAGATCACAAAAAGCAATAGCTTTGAGCAGCAAAACAAAAACTTTACAGGTACACCACAGTTCTTGGTACAGTTCTTTCCTGTTATTGCAAGACTACAACGTGAAAGTGCCTAATAATTTTCATGACGTTTGTGGAAGACGTAAACAAGCGACGACGATATTTTCCTCTTTTTTCTAAACTTGGATATGGATCTTAAGGATTCGACTCCAGGGCAAGGTTGCATAAAGCGTTCTTAAGATAAGTTAAAGAGGGTTCTTAACTTTTGTTCTGAAACAATAACCTATTGTTTTGAAATAATAGTTACGAGTTCTCTTAATCTTAAGATGTTTTATGCAACCCGACCCAGGAGAGTTCGCCTACATTTGACAGAGTAAGTGAGTTGGAATAATCTAGATGAAGATTGAGGGCAGCGAATTAACTCATAAAGCGACGTTTTCGCCGCCGACGCTGTCCTCGTTCCTAATGACCAGGCGTCCGCGTCGGCCGCACGAACAGTATACATGGCATTATACCTAACGGCAAACTTGTCCATCAAATGATGCGGATTTCAGTACATTCTTCGCATTAGCAATGCGGTATGAATCGAAGCGGCAAGTTTAATTTGTTACAAATCAAGAACATTCGCGCATGCGCTACACCACTACAGCGTTCTCGTTTCGTTCTCGATCCAGGCCCGGCACGGCACTGCCGTTTGAGTAGGCGGCTGAGGCGGAGTGGGATCCAACATCTGAGACAGATCTCATCTGACGTTTGACTTCAAAAACCTTTAGGAAAAGATAACAAATAGAGCATTTACATTTTTTCTCTCCTGAATTCGGCATTTCCCCCATGTTAGACCCAGAGACTTTACAAAAGCCATTATCGGAGACGTGAAAAAACCCATAGCCACAGTTATACCACAAAAGGGGTCACCTATTAAGAAGTCACTATGGTATTTGATTAATGCTGAAAATTGCGTTCTTTTGCCCTCCCCTCGGAATTTCCGTTACCCTCCGTTGGGGGTATGGATATTTTCTGGAACTACACAATATGGAAACACACCAAACATTAAATGCTTTGGCATTATTCGCAATTACATATTCTATTAACAAAGTGCAACAATTTATTCTATTTGCACAAGAAAAGTCCTTCTATGATTTTGATAACGGTTCCCAACTTATTGGGATGGCCTCAACCGGTAGGAGACTGTGTAGATCTAAATATCATGGGAACAAAAATATTCTTACATGAATTTCAATCGCAGATTCTAAACCTCGCGGTCCTAAATTGACAAGAAATTCCACATACCTCACTTATGGCTTGACGGAAGCAATAGAAATTGTAGTCAATCAAACCTAAAACAACAAAAGCAATTATGTTACTTAAACTGTCTCAATAATCATTAATATTTTTCTGTTACAGTGTAGTTCGTTTTCATTTAGTATGTACGCCCTTTGAATCTGTCGTCGCACTTAAGTCGTTAATTAGATTTGGTACAGAATAGGCGCGGCATTTAAGCAAGGTCTTATAAGGTGGGTTTCTACTGTCACGTAATTTTTTCGTGCGTACGCACGTAAATTACCGTACGTAACTAAAATTGAGGCACTGTACCACAATGTCTCGCGTAAAGGTAAAAGTTGCGCGAGGTTTATTTTTTTACGTTTAAGCGCGACCTTTGATACATTGCCTCAATTTTATTTACCCATGAAAACGCACCTAAAGTTACGCGACAGTGGAAATCCACCTTAGGCGATTTTTAACCCAGTTTTCCGCGCAACCTCGTAATAGCCAATAAAATAGTAAATCGATAGCGTTTCGCCAAACAGTTCCATAATGCAATTCGACACAAGACCGACCAACCTTCAATTATTTATTATTCATTTGTAATAAGTAAATAACCTTCAAGTGAAACCCAAAATGAATGGACAATACTTTCGTCGTGTTCTTATGTCAACAATTCCATCTTTTAGTCCCGATAAAGGGCTGATATAGCTCTTTATGCTAACTTTCATGTTCGGTAAGTTAACACACATTAACCGCTCTTCTTCCTCGCTTCTTCAAAAACCAGACCTTCTCCAGAAGGTTCTAAAAAATGAATGAATCAACTAAAATAAACAGCACTAGAAAACTTTGGAACACAGACCTTTCTTCTCAAAGTTGACATCCCGTAAAATGCAAACGAGGGCAAGAAACCTGTTAAAAAAAACCAACAAACAAACCGACATGTTTTCATTAGTCGATTCGAACACTTGGACTTCTGCTACATCGCTCTTGGTAAACTGCATTAAACTATAAAGGGTTTTGTTTATAGTTTTTCTCACTCACAATCGTAACTTAGAGATAGATCACTAACTTTCGACCGCGTACTGCAAGTATCATTGCGTTCGATGTAGTGGAACGCACTCCAACTAAAAAACAGGGACAAACGGTGAAACGATCTTGGGACGCATAACTCGTCTTTTTTACGGCATACTGTAACTTTTACTCAAGTTTATACACTCCATAAAATTTCGGGTGACATAACTCTAGTTTTAAGCCACTTGACTACGGGCGAGAAGACTTTCGGACGACTTGACCGGTTACCATATTTTGCAGGGGCGAATAACACCATCAACTTGCCAAAAGGGAAGGAACGCCTGACGAAACCCTAAGAACGTCTGCGTGGGAGGCTAGCCAAAGGGGAGAGAACTAGCGAGCGTGATTGGCCGTATGCACTCCTTAACCTTTAATAATGAAAATCAATATCTTATAAGTAGGTGGAATGTAGTCGTCCGGGTGAGTGAAGTCCTGCACAGTACTGTTGTTGACAGTGAATGACGTTTCGACAAACCTAGTCTTACTCTGAAGATGACTACTGCGCACAGGTTGTCGAAACGTCAGTCACTGTTAACAACAGTACTGTTGAGGACTACACTCGCCCGGACGATTATATTCACTGACAATGAAATAACTCTGGTTCAAACCTTTCATCAGTAATAACTTACTTATTAACTTCACGGAGGTACAGGATAGTGGAGTTATTAAGTTTAATGATTGATGAGGACTCCATATCATAAGCACTACTGTCTCCTTCGTCTCTTAACCTGAAAATTACCACATTTAACACTGGCCCATCTTTAATCCAAGACAAAGTATTGCTTTTTCTCAGGATTCAAAACCTTTCATTAATAGTTGGGGTCAAAACTTGGGCACAATACCAAAACTACATGTAACTTATTTTTGGCTAATTTGATTTCCACCATTTCATGTGAATGACTGAATCGTCATTGGGTTGTAACAATTAATTGAGTTCAAAGTGTTTACAAGTTACTTAAAAGAAAATTTAAAAAAAGATGGAGAAATTATGATTGGAGAGCCTATCGGCCACTTAATGTACCTAATGCAACATGCCCTCGGATGTCTGTGGGGATAGCTAGGGGGAGGGGGTGGGGATGAGCGGCAGTGATTTTGGAGGAAATGGTTAACTACCAGGGTCTACCAGTTGAGGTAATTTTATCAACTGTTATCTTATTTTGAGGGCTATCGTTTTCGAGTAATGTGTTACTCATTAGTGGAAAGCTGAAGTGGAAAGAATATGATACATTGTAATATTTAAACTACAGTCAACGGCTGAGCTTATAATTTTTTATAACAACAACAAAAAAACCTTTGCTCACCCATAAATACAGGAAATGTCAATAACTACATCAATCATATCACAGCAGAGCTCATATGACTGCATGTCTACTGGAGAACTAAAAGAAAAAGGAAAAAAATAAATAAAAGATTTTAGAGGATGTCCAAAAATAATCTATCCAGTAATGCATCAAATTATGAAAAAAACCTGCCCTCTCTTTGTGCCTTATTCTTAACAGTTTGGTGCTGGTCAATGACCCTTAACCCCAACTAAAGCAAAGGCCCTTTCTACACTGTATTTTAGCATACAGCTGTACAATGTACAAGGGCTGACACTAAGGGCCAAGGGATGCGAGCCGCAAGCTTCCCCCAGCTATAAACCAACCTGCTTTCATAAGAAACACTAAAGAGAAAAATAACAGCAAGAGAATTTCCAAGCTGTTCAATTCTCCACCTACTTATTGTATAATAGGCAGCAACTTAAAAACTTAGTGATGGCACCACAAAGATGATGCTACACACATGTACTGTGGCTTAGCTTTTAGGGTTTCATAGAAAATACAATCTTATTTTATCAATGCAGTGCATCTTAGATACAATAATAAATATTTCATGTACATACCTATCTGTGGCCACATAGATTTTGCTGACAACATCAAATAGAAAGGCCTTCTCAATACCAGAATTCTGAAGAAAGAAATAGTCTTTGGGTTACCAACTCATTTCCTTACTTAATTACTGTACCATTGGAAAAATAGATACATAAATATCAATTTGTGGGCCCACAACGCCGGTAAACTACTGGGCTAACCAGTAATTGTGAAAGGCATTAAAAGTCTCATTATTTATTTATTTATCAAATGATGTAACCTTTGTACTGTAGTTGCCAACAGACTGAAAGCCTAAAAAAAACTAGGCGTGCATTAAATGCGATTTCTTTGCACCCCTGACCGCTGCAATAATGGTGCAGCAGTGTACTATAAACCAATAATTTTGAACTAAAAAAGCAATAGGGGCTGGTCATTTAGTCGGTTCTTTATTTCCTTGTATACAGCTGTAATGTTAATTGACACTTTCTATTCTTGGCTTTTACAAAAAACAATTCAAAGAAATAACAGTAAAAATCAATAATATTGTGACGCATACTTACAGTTATAAGAATATTTAATAAGTTCTCCAGGGTTGGAAGCTGGGGTACTAGTTTCTGCACCACTTTACTAAAGGCCTTTAAAAATAATCATAATAATATATGAGGTTTACTCATCTTTCATTCAGACCACTGAATAAATGGGAACAAAATTCCATAAAATTTCCACTATCAGTTTCTGATGAGAACTTTATCATTTAATTATTAATTACTATACTTTGAATAAAATACTATTTAGTACTGACATCCAAGAAGATTTTAAAATTCCAAGGCATTCAAGAAATCACAGAGGAGTAGTATTCATGAACTTCCGGTAGCCATGCACCTCTCATTAACCTCTTATTTTACTGGCTCGACATCTCTATAGCTTGCACTACTATTGTTTCAGTGTCAGAGTTCATCGTTGATTTTGTTTGTTTCATTGTTTTCTAAGCCAGTTATACTGGGATTTGTTACAAGACATGCGAGCCGCCTTTGAATTTTGGGTAGATATCCATCATATGTGCAATTCAGGAGATCCTCATTAAAAAGCTCAATCTTGTTTATATGATTGACCATGCAGGATTCACATGTTCTCTGCATGTTTTTACATTTGCACAAAACTGAAAAAAAAAAAACAGTTTTAGAAACTTACCTCAAATATAGAATGATCGTATATACTTGTCAAGTAGAAACTGAAACAAAAAAGAAAGAGGAATCAGAAATTAAACTAATTTACTACATTTTAATACTCCTTCTGGAATTTCCACTCAAGTAACACTCTGGTAGCAAAAAGTTATGGAGTATGAGACTCGCTACAGCCAAGCCAACGCACTCACTAACTACCTGTGGACAGCCATTACAAAACTAACCTTAGGTGGAGACCTTCAAGTCCAGCATCTGTTAAATCATCCGTTGCTCTTTGGTGAATATCACGTTGTGTTTCTGTGAAACAAAACATTCAGCAGTGTCATGCATATACAAATATATACATGTGTGCATCAATGGACTACATGTAAGAAATACTGTGGAAAAACCTCCAGAAAACTTTTTCTTTAAAATCTTCCAGGTCTCGCAGTACTTTGAGCTAACCTAGAAATCTTTGAATCCTGGATTTTGAGTCTCAAAGTCTTTTCGTAAGGGTGACTTTCTGTGTCAAAGAATACAACTTTTCATCACAAAGTCTTGATTTTTTAAACAAGGATCCTTGTATCTTGGAGAGTCTCAAATGTTTTCATTGACAGCCCATTACAGTCAAGATCAGTCCGTTTGTTTTTAACCCTTCTAAGCCTTAAGATCCACAAACAAATTCTCGAGACTTATTGTCATACATTTCTTTTAAGAATAGTAGGGACAATTTTTTTTTTTTGAGATCAATGTGTTCAATATAGTAGTTTTTTTTCTCTTACAAAAGGGATCTTTAACTTGCTGCAAAGAATCCGTAAACTACAATAATATATTTGACTCCCCAAATGCAGCCAGTTTGCAACTACATGTATAAGGTTAGTAGCAAATTGAACCCACCAATTTTATGATCATCTGACAGACCATCCACTTTGTGGATGAAAACTTCAAACTTTATGTTTGGGTTGACCTGAAAAAAATGAAGTTGACATATTAAAAACGAGAAAGACAAGTATTTCACATAATACATAAAAAACGACACGCAGTGTTTCATCCGATATCCAGACACCGAGAAGTGGGCTGAAATATGAGGCACAGCCATGTTTTTTGAGACCGACTTTGAGGTGTCTGGATATAGATGAAACACTTCTCAAGTGGAGTTTTTGATATAGCTTCCCAAATGAACAATAATTCTTGCAGAAATTCAAAGATAAATTTTGCAAAATTTTATGATAATTAGTAACCGATATCCAAACCACCATCACGGTTGTGATTTTAATTGTTTTCTCGTTAAGAATTATTAATGAGTTTGAGAACTGATATTCAAACATCAAGGAGCAAGAGAATGACCATATTTACTGCAAAAATAATTTTACCTTAGTTGAATCCTGGTAACTCGAACCCTTGACAATTTTACTGAAGTCGAACTCCTGGTAACTCAAACTATTTTTCTTTCCCTTGAAGGTTCAAATTATCAGGAACTGACTGTATGAACCATATTTTACATGGTTGTATATGGTACAGTGCATTTAAGTTATGGTTCAAAAATTTGATTTCAGGTTAAATTTTTTTAACTTAGGTTCATTCTCAATTTCCTTTGTTTCCTAGTCCTAATTAATTCATGAATAATTAGGGCTACAGACTGTAGTAGACAATTGTCATAAAATTATGCAACTCAATTTTCAAGCCTACTTTGTATGCTCTTGTAACAGTCATGTGAAGTTTTCCTAGGGCTTCCATGTAATCATCCTGAGGGGAAAAAAAACAGAAAAGAATTATAATTATTCTTATGACGAACTTGGAACAATATTCAACGCTGTAAATACAATAATGAACATTATTCTTCTGGTACATGTACATTGCTCCCTACTATTTCACATTAAACTAGATTAATTTTTTTTTAATGCTGGTTGACAAATGCTGCTGCTCCTTTGGCTGTCTCTTGAAATAACAAGAGAGATTGGTTTCCCACTAATTCTGAACAGTTTTACCTGAGCATCTATGACAAAGACAAGAGCTCCACAGTGACCAAACAGCACTTCTGAATCAAATGCTGGGTCAAAGAAATCTATTTGTCCAGGAAAGTCCCATATCTGCAACAACAATAACAATATTGCAAAACCATTATAATAATTGATTATTCGTAAGAACCACTATTAACACATGCTGGGACCCAAAAAACTCACCCAAATATCTAAAACTTTTGATGCAGTTTTATGCTTGCCTTACAGGGTTTTCAAAAGTGTCTGATGCCCAAGAAAATACCTACCGTATTTATTCGATTAACTGCCCTGGGCACTTATTAAATTTTTGGACCTTAAGAGTGGGCGCTTATTCGAGGTGGGCGCTTATTCGAGGCTGGGCGCTTATTTAATTTTCAGCATTTTCAGCAAGTGTAGTATGTTAATTTTGCAACAATACAATAAATGGTAATAATAAAACGTGACGATGTAACAAAGCAAGGTCTCTTAAAATACTCTGAAGAAAACTCCGTGTTCGGGCAAGTCTCTCATTAGTACTTATTTAAGGTTTTTTTAGTGGGAGAGACCAGAAAGGTAGCCTGAGAGAAGCGATGACCGGAAATGCATCTGCTGTTCGCAGGCTACCAGAAAGGGGGTGGCGCTTATTTGAGTTTGAGTTTGAGGGGGAGGGAGGTGGGGTGGGTGCTAATTCGAGGTTGGGTGCTTATTTGAATAAATACGGTAGCTGGCTGGCTTGGCAGTAATTTTTATATTTTAATCTTATTCCAAAGTGTGAATTGATAAAGATGGGGAATAACATTATTGTGTACTTCATGTATATTAAGTACAGTCTGAATTTCTGGAGGGGCCGAGGTTTCAAAGCATTAACCATCAAAAGAGGTTGGATGGAATACTTTATGTAGCAGCACATACATGTAACGATCTCCCATAAAATTGAGTTTAGTTCACAGAAGTGATTTCAAATTGTTTCATCCTGGCCCCTTCATGAATCTGCCATCTTTTCCATTTTGTTACAATAATTTATATAGAAAAAGGAGAGTCTGAGAAATCAAACCTATCAGACAAAGCTGTATTAGATACAATAAAAAGAAAGATAAAATTTGTGCTTACTTGAAACTGTACAAATGAGCTATTTGAAATATCTAAAAATAAGTTAAGGATACTAAAACATATGGTGACTGCATCTGCATGCACAGAGCATTCCAGCTTATTGCACTTTGATAAATTAAAATATTACAATTAATTAATAAAATGTAATTTTTTTTTACCCACATTTGCAGGCAAAACTACATACAACTTGAGCTTGTACATGCACATGAAAAAACCTTACATTATAGTATTATTTTTAACACTGATCAGAAGAAGCTGTGTCTAAAAGGAATTGATATTCTAAGAAAAAGCGTACATGCAGTATTGCATGTAAATTATAACTCTTTTTTGTTAAAGGATACCATCTTTTACTATTTTGTTGGTACTCTCCAAGAAAAGAGTTTCATTTGGAGACATCTTGTGAAATACAACCTTCTGAATAGAAGATTTGCCACTCCTAAAAATTGGATATACAAGAAGTTAATAAAACAGATGTACAACATTGATTCTCTTGTATTTTACAAAGATGATTGCACTACCCTTGTCACTTATTTTTGACAAACTTTGTAACTCTTTTGTCTTGTTTTCCACACCTTTTTGACAACTTTGAGCCTTTAAGGCTACATGTACTTTATTATTGGACAAGTTAATAACTTAATTACTTGCAACTCAATGCAGTCATCACTGTAACATGATACAAGGTTGTACACTGTACATGTACTATTATAAACATTGTAATTTGTATGAATGATAGAGCAGGCAGACCTTCTGAGACCCAGCAATAAAATGCGTGGTTTGCTGTCACTGTGTGCGATATCATCCTGATCTTCTGGTCCATATCTGAGAGAGTAAGATCACAAGTAATTGACAAGTAATGCAGGTGCCAGTTGTTCAAAGGGTACATAAGGCTTTCCAATGGATAAATCTATACCCACTGGATAGTGCAATTGGTTTCGATTAAGCCTGGTTCTCAAATGCTGCTGGACATAAAACTGAGCATTGGTGACTGTGTTCATCTTCGTCACGCAAAAAACTTAAAAATTGCTGATTAAAAGAATTAAAGTTAGATATGCGCCTTGTGAGTGTTGGAAGGCTTTTTTTAGTCTTTCGCAGCCAAGTACTGAAAGGTACTTTGGCCTGAGGTTGTCCTGGCTCTTGGTAGATGTAGTAAATTGTTGTCCCTGAGCTCCCTCATATGTACGCTGGATTGGCGAGGTAAATATGAGAATAGCTGCTCTGCACACTGAAGACTATGTACAATTTTAGAAATAAGTTGAAACCTAAGAAAACCTCTCAGCATGCAAAGAAAGTTGTGTCCGATAGCCCTGGGCCAGTGGATTTTGCTATCGGGCTAGTGGTTTTTGTTCTTAACTTGCCTGATGGGCAAGTGCTGTTTTTTGAGAAATTCAAATTACAGAAGGATTGTAATCAATCCTGCTAATCAAAAGGGATTGGGGGCTAGTTGAAATGACTTGTGGGCTAGTACATACTAGCTACAGCTTGCCCGAATAGCAGGCTGTAAAACTGGCTTTCTTTGTAGCCTACATCTGTGGTTTCTTAATGTTAATAAAATAAGCTCATCATTTGATGTTTATCACCTTTCATAACCAGTCTCCTCTACTAACTATGCTCCGACAATCTAGTCTATGTCACCAATAAGAAATGGAGTCATAAGTGGAATTCTCTTGTGCTTCTCATTCCAACTTTGACCATCCAACTCAGTCCCTGGTGAAAACCAGCCTTAAGCCTTGTGACAAACTTTCAAGATAGGTTGGTGAAAATCCCTGAAAACTACAACGGGATGCATGGAAAGTAACTGCAAACCCTTTGCACAGAAATTGAAAGCAGGTTTACTTTCAGTCCTCTAATAAATAATAATTTACTTGATAACTTCTGCTCTGTAAAATCTGACGTACATGTATGTGGAAGTTCGGAGAATTTGACGTTTGAAACACAAACAAGCCAAATTTTTTAATTTCCCGCGAACACAGGCCTTACTTTTGTTGGTGCATGTACGAATATTAATTCAGTTTTACTTTATAATTTGACCATCTCTGATCCCGGCCGGCGAACAGAAACTTAATTACATTACAATTTCTACCAAAATAGCTTATTTTATTTATAGTATGTAGGACAACTCATGTGTGAATTCAGGTACTTTTCGCATAGGGCTGTTTTGTTCTTCCTCAATTTAACTGAACATCCACTCAGGTAAGAATTGCACAAGATTCTGGTCACGCGCCCATACATGTGCATTTCAGCTAACGGATCTTTAATTAGAATTTTAGTTTCATTAAGGAAATGAATATCCTCTGATTATTCGTTAAGTTAACTACTTTATCCAAAAATAATGAAGCCTCTTAGTGAAAATAAATATCGAGCAGGCTTCGATATTAATTCAAGCTCACGTTCTCAGAGTTTGACAACACTGATCTTGTCTTTGAAGTAGTTTTCAGACTCGACCTTATAATCGCGAGGCCATTACTGGTCAAACAACCAATCTGAAAAAGAATTCTACTTCTATCATTGTATAGTAGGTTTTACGTTAAAATACTACAAAGGAAAAGAGGGCGATCTTACCCAAAATCTTTGGGAAATGATCCTACAACACTGTAGCTTCCAAAGTTTTCCTCGTCTTCGTAAGACTATTTCACACATGCAAGAACAAATTTAAGGAACCAAATTAATATTCTACTGTAAAAAGTCATCAATGAAAGTAGTTAGAGCCCCAAAACAGGAGAACTGTACCGTCATCTCGGAAAAACGTTCCTGAAACTCGACTTCCACGATGCAAGCGTATTTTGAGTTAGTAAAATAGGTCATGTGATAGTCAGTCACGTTCAGGCAACTTCCGGCCACGGAAATCTTCCGAAGCTTGTATTATTAACTTCGTGGGCTCTTCGGATATTCCGACGTAAGCAAGAGTGAGCTAAAGTCGAAAAAATTCGCTTGAAAAAACGACGCAAAAAGAAAATGGTATTAGAAAGATGATTTTTTCAGTCAGTGACAAAGGCGGTCTAGAAGAAAAAAATTCTGTCCCATGTATTACCAGGCTCAAATTCGCAGTTACATTTCGACTGCTGTACCTTCACAGTTTCACAAGGAGCCTACGATCGTACCCTCACATATACAAACAAAATAAAAAAAAATGATAAATAAATAAAAACGCCTGATCGCCCACACAGCCACAAATGTGGTTTGGTTCTCAGCAGCCATTTGTGGGAAGGAGCGTAGGCTGTGAAACAGAATACCGTCCATCGCAAACAACAAAAAAATGACTTCACTATTAGTTAGTTGACACCTTTCATATTGACAAAATCCTTGCCCTTTTAGTGATAACGAACATATTTATTCTTTCTTATATTTCTTAGTCTTTTTCTCCATGAAATTGTAATAATAACAAATAAATAAATAAATAAATAAATAAATAAATAATATTGATGCACAGGTAGCTTAGACTCTATTGGATATTAACATGGGCTGCCTGTGACTTATGCAAACTATTTCTCCATTCTAATTGGTTCAAAATGATTCCCGCGGCTGCGCCCTGGGGAGGAGGTAGTAATGGCGGAATATTTTGATTACACGTTGCGCAAAATAGCGGAACTTCTATCTGCCTAAAAACATAGCAAGACGTTCAAGAACACCAAGAATACAACTCAACGTAGGACATCTACAATGCGAAGATTATCTGCAGAACTAAAGAAGCCTTATACAGGTTAACAGCATAACCTTCCAAATAAAGATCGAGGTAAGTATGCATGCTCTAGCTCAGTCTAGCTTGTTTTTCAACTACTACAACCAGGAGTTATTTTGGACGAACAGTAAAAACAGTTATTGGATCCACCTCTTGCATGACACGAAAATTTATATGCAGATATCTGAGGGCCACCTTGGCTAAACACCTTCCCCTTCATGAGATCATATTCAGCCTTAACATATACCAGTCAATTCCAAAACCCAAAACCTACACTGTACAGAGCAAAACTCAGGTGAAATGCCCCTGGGTATGCTGGGGGCGGGGGGGGGGGAATGGGTGGTTTTGGAATTGACTGGTACATTATGCAATAATTAATTATTGGTTAACTTAGCTCTTGTATCTGTAATTGGTAGTCTTATAATACTAATCTTAAAACTCTCTCTCGTAAACGCTTCAGTTTTACAACTGTCAGATGCCTTACAAAAATACCGTACCAAGGGGCAATTAAAGTAAGGTGTGGCCACATAATTGCTGATTTATATTGAAGTAATTTGGTGCTGACTGGGATAAAATTCTTTTAAGCCTTCTTCAGTATTCCTACCATCCTACTTACTTTCTTACAAACATCATGTTTGTGATCTCTAAAGTTATTTATGGTCATGATTTACACCTAAGATTTTAGTGGATTTTGTCTGTTCCACTTTTTCACCACAAATTCCCAGATCAACTCTCCTTTCTTCCTTTGGATTTCCCACAACCATAGAAACTGTCACTTTCAACAGATTTTCGTGGTACTACTTTGTAATCATCTCACCATCTGTTACCAGAATCTTTTCCATGCTTTTGGTTTTTTTCCTTTACTGGCCACCACTGTTCATTGCTGCACTTTCCTTTGACATTATGTTAGGTATATCATTCTGATAAATAATCCACAGAAGCGATTCAAAGGTGGACCCCTAAGGACATCCTCTCTTTACCATCACCCTGTCTCTGGTTACTGTGCCCATCCCTGAGCAGATTGTTTTCAGAGAAATTGAACCTTCCTATATGTTGTGGGTTTCTTTGCAAATATTGCTGGACAATTTATTATTTATTCAATACTGTATTAATTATTAAAAGAAAGCAGACAAAGGCGTAATTCAAGGGATTCCAAGTTCATGCTATAAACTACACTCTTGTGGTCTTTCGGCGAAATACAGTCGAAACCTTATGTCTATAATTAGTAAAGAAAAAAAATAATTCCAATTCAATTTCAATGCACTGCTTATGCGATTTACAAAATGCCAAGTACAGACAGCTGAAAACATCGTGCCAATATTGAGGAGGCAGAAAGATCTGCAAACTGAGGCAGTCCAGTGTTTGGTCAGGAGCCAAACAAACAAAATTTTATTTCAAGGATTTAAATTAAGTATAAAAGTACACTGACCTTTAGGTAGCAACCGCTAATGTGGACGGAACTCATCTAAAACATTTTAATTTAACTTCCCCTAAGACTCACCAACAGATAAGTAGTTTTTAGGACAGCTCCAGGTTAACTATTGTAAACAGGCTTCCAAATCATAGAAAAAACTATTTGAGACATGCCTGACATGTTTTTTTTTTAACATTCGGTCATTTGGTGCCCTTAAAATTACTCATACTCATCTATGTAGCAGAATGTTGTTGTGTGTTGTTATAGTTCTATTGCTTAATATTATTGTAACGAGGGGGCCTCCTCGTACAAGCCTTGTGGTTTTCTGAGGTCCCCTCGCCACATCTTTGTATAATGTAATGCTTGTGTAATCTTTATTGTGGGAAAATAATAAATAAATAAATAAATAAATAAATGAATGTTGTGGAGTCAACAGTGTGGAGTCAACAGTGCTACACGGTTGCTCATACCCTGGAACAAGGCTCTGCAGTGGGGAAAAGGTAAAAAACGGGCTGAAACAGAAGAAAAAATAGGCAAACGAAGTGAGCCCAGGCTAAGTCACCCAGTTGATGTCAACCTGGAACTCAGACATTCCGTCAAACAAATGATTGAAAGTTCTGAAATTTTCAATAGTGAATTCCTCACTTTTGTCTTACATGTATTTTTATGACAAAACTAAGACAAACATTTAAGTCACACGTAGGGGTTCAAAACATGTTGATCACCAGAATAAATGGGAGCGTTCCTTTGAGATGATCCAGATCAGGATAAGTGATCCCAGATCACTCGGATCATGGTAGATCAAAATGATGAACCGATGAATCCACTCTGAACAAGGATTCATCGGATCAGTTGATCTACCATGATCCGAGTGATCTCGGATCAGTGATCCTGATCTGGATAATACCAAAGGAACGCAGGAGGGTCCCCAGTAGGTTCTTCAATCCCATGACCCTGACCCGAAATTTCATGCAATCCCGTAATCCCGATGGTTACAGTTGACTCCCTCGAACCTTGAAGGGAAATCGAAAAAAGTTTGAGTTAGCAGGAGTATGAAGCAAATAACTGGAGAGGAGGAAATTGGATGGGGAATGAATGCAAGTAACATGCACACTTCAAAGCTTGATAATAAATAGTGCTGGGCACTGTATTTGAACTGGACTGACAAAAAAGTAAAGACAAAGAATACATGGCTGTTAAAATAATTTCCAGTGGCGGATCCAGGGGAGAGGCCCGGGGGGCCTGCTGCCCCCAACTCCTTATTTTTTAGACTAAACAGAGGCCCGGAGGGCCGAAAAAATTTTTTGGGGAAACCAGGCCTCCCTCTTATCTAAGGGTCTCTATCCGGCATTGATTTCAATGGTTCGAGTTATCGAGGGTGAATTTATATAGGAATGATCTGAAAAGAAACGAAAATTAGGTTCGAGTTATCAAGGGTTCGAGTTACCGAGGGTAAAATTATAGTAAATGTACGAAGGAAATCCATAAGGCTCAATTTCCTCCATCTCCCGGGTCCGGTCTTTGATCCTCCCCGAAGAGAGAGGGAAGATGAGTGCGGGCTCATTTTCCCGAACAGTGGCTGGTAATCGAGCCTAAGATCCATGGAAAATCGATTGTTTGGAGTTAGCGCGAGGTTCGAGTTATCGGGAGTGGACTCTGTTACTGGCATCCCAATTCCCGTGCGTACTTTCATTCCCAAATCTCGCCCTGATTTTGCTTTAAAATCCCGAATCCAGAGCGTCATATATGGCAAACTCCCAAAAAACGTATTGGATACCAGTTTTTGTTAACCACATTTGTCTCGTTCCCATAGGATATTTCATTAAAATTTACAGTCGAGCCGTTCGGATTCGAAAAAAATGGAAGACGTTTTCTAAATAGTTGTGGATAGCTGTGTTGAAAAATTAACATCATTTAAGTTTAGACGTCATCGTGAAACTGGCGAAAGTGACCGCTAAGTAAATCAAGGCTTAATAGTGAACTTAAGCAAAGACGTTTTTGAGCGACGCACGTCAACCGGAAGTGGTTTGTTTTCATTTTTGGACAGTGGTTTTGCCCATTTTTTAGGACAACTTGTCTCTATAATAGTTAAGACACGTAGAAATACAAATTTGGGAGCGTCAAGGTGCTTTAAAATGAAAAAGACCTCACTTCCGGTTGACGTGCGTCGCTCAAAAACGCCGTTGCTTAAGCTCCCTATGGATGTATTACAACCTCGTCCCCAGGGTCTTCTCGTATCCGGCCTAGTTCCTAGAAATCGCACCTGGCTATTGTTTATTTTCTCGGAAACAATGCATTGAATATTTATACACTGCAGCTGGAACGGGGTTTTGACGCAAAGGCACGTTATCGCATTCAAACATGTAAGTAAAATTAATGAAAGAATTAGTTCATCAATGTCGGTTACCTTGTTTATTTTCTAGAAAATTTCCCACTTCGTGTATTTTGCTCGGTCATTTTATGCGACAAAATCTCTCAGACGCGTGATAAATTGTTTATAGCAGTGTTTATAGACGCGTGTTTCTTACTGATAGAACTAGTAGAATGATCCTTAATAGCCTTACAAGCATTTTTCAGATCGTTGGTGAGCTTTAGCCCTTGCACACAGGTGGAAAATGTTTGCGTCTTTCCTGCAGGTTTATTCTTTTAAGTGCTTCTTTCCTGATCAATTTTTTTTAACATGAACCTGATTAATGAACGGTAACTTAAAACCAACAACAATCTTCTTGCCCGCTTTCAAAATCCTAAGCCTGGAGAGAGCATTCAAGTGTCTCGTGATAACACTAAGCATAATTATCTAACAAAATTTCATTTAGGCTATATGAAAACAGATTTTGTAAGTTTGGAATCGCACTTATGCTTCAGTGCACCTGCGTTAACTGAGGGTTTTAAAAGCAACTATCACAACGGCGACGAAAACTTTGCCTTGTTTCAAACGTCATCCTTTTTCAAATATTAGCGAATTTTTCTGTAGCTACATCTGTATCTAAGGTAAAGTTGAAGCGTCGAATTTCACATGTGGAAAATTTAATTCAAGAATTAACTGCATGTGATATGCGACGTCTGAATCAAATTCGACAGTGTCGAATTAAATATTAATGGTAAAAACCGGCGACAAAGAACCTGGTTTTTGAGAACCTGTTAGGCTAAAATTTACGCAGTTAGGCCTCCTCTATACATGACCCTGTTAAGCCTAAAATTTGAAACAGGTTCTTATTTTGTAAACTCTACAAAAAAATTCTGCACACTTGGGAAAATAAGATAAGTTAACATTCAGGATAGTCTTTGGAAAAATAGGTGCCTTTTCTGCCCAACTGCAATTTGTATTGCTATACAGGTTGTAGCTAAGAGATGGGCCGAACACCACTAGATACTCTTAGGTACAGTATGTTGCCCAGTATCCGGACGGTACCAGTATCCGGACACTTAAAACAAAAACTCACTTTTTGAGGGATGTTACTAAAACGGGGAACGGGGAGCGGGGAACGGGGAGCGGGGAACGGGGAACGGAAGTCTGGGAATGAGTTGTCAGCGGAAACCTCCATAAAAATCCAATATGGCCGATGATCGATGATAGAGAACCGTCGAAACAAGGACAAACAAACTTAACCGATAACGGCGTTATTTTACTTGAACTATATACTCATGAGGTGCTTGAAATAATACGGAGGTAATAACTTCATGAGGTTTTTCACCTTTTTGCGTTTTACTAAACGATTATCCGTAGGAAACAAAATATGCTCCAACAGCAGTTGAAAGAAGCCAATCGGGACAAAAACTCTCAGAGCACATGTACAGCCATATTTGGAACTCAAGCGAATCTATACTGAGTCTAGCCCACAAAGCAATGAACTACTTTTCCATGATAGATAACATACATCGAAGTAGTCAAGTAGCTTGTGTGCAGACTTCTTCTATTTCCTTTGATAGAGATGACTGCTTTGAAAAATGTTATTGACCACGTCATCACATAATTAGTAAGACTACTTTAACAATCTGGTTCTGCTTTTAATATTATTAGATCTACTACACTGCAGGCATTCACGATATTGAAGTGTTTCACTGATCCATGAAAATAAAATAATATCATTTTATTATTTTGAGAAACAATTTGTTTCAGGTCAGTTTGCCCAGTATAGACCAGTATAATGACGCTAATGGAACCTAATTCACTCATTTTTCGACATTTTCCTCACCCTAATAAGTAACTGCTTCAAAGTCGTACAGTGGCCATTTGTCTTTCTGCGAAATACCCCTGACGACCCTTTCCTAAATCAAAACCATTGGATTGCATTGAATGCAACATTCTTACTCACTGCAGACCCTCAATTAACCCCCGGCCCCCCTAAGAATGAGATCCCAAACCCCTCCCTTTTGAAGAAAAATGTCGTAAAATAATCAAAGTACCTCTTCATGGGCACGAAACGTTTGGTGCAATTCATACCATACAATATCGCTGTATCAAGTACTATTCTCGGTGCAGGAGGAGGGGGTACTATAATGGCCTAAACAGAGCCTGAAGCCTTTTTCAGGCTTCAGGTACATGAAAGGGAAGGGGTTTTTATAGTTGAAGTATATGAAAGGGACCAAAATGAGATCAGTCACAGATGCATTTTATGGATGTGAGAGACAAGAAAACCTGTTTTAGCTATTTATTCATATTGTAAAGATGGTGTATTTACAGCAGTTAAAAAGGGATGCAGCGTTCAAAATTAGGTATGTGAAAGGGGTGCCATTTGTCACTAGAGGGTATACAAAAGGGGTACCTTTTCTGTCTAAAATGGTACATACAAAGGGTAAAGGGTTGGTCCCTGGGGCAGAGCCTCTTTGGTGAGTACCCCCCCCCCCTCTGGGTTACTGTTACTCTAGTCTGATGCTTCTCTTTAATTTCTTTGATATTGTGCTTCATTAAATGAATTAAAATTCATTTAAAAGCTTCTTGCCCCTTTTTGAAAACCCCCCGATATGTTAAAAGAAATGATGTCCCCTGGAGGGGAAATAAAATCAGGGAAAATGGGTAGCAAGATCTATTGTGTTATTTTACATGCATTGAGTAAGCATAATGTGGCCACTATACACATACAGTTGCGCTGCGTGTTTACTGAAAAACATATCGGCACTCCAATCTTTTGCCTCCCATCACTTGTGTGAGACCTTAGACTCTTTATTTCCAAAACTACAGACAGCTTGCTTGAAGGCTTATCAACCACCTTCTAATAAGCTGCCAACCTCTGCAACATTGATGATGTGATGCTTGATGGTAGGTGCACTGGCTGCAATATTACTGAATCAAGCTAATAAAGCAGCTTGACAATATTAACTGGTTTAACTCACTGATACATTCAGTTTTAAACTGAGCTTGAAATATTTTTCTCCACAGTAAAAATAATGTTCATTAAAGAGAAGCAGAGCTCCCCTCTGCAAAAACATTAAAGGAGTCCCCCTAGGAAAAAAAAAGCATCCAGAGGGCTAAACAGAGGAAGTATACTTACCATGCATATTTTAACAGCTAGCCTTTAGAAAGTACCTTCCAACCAAAGACTTTAAAGTACTTCCCCACGTATACTTGCAACACTTAATATTGCAGCTCAGTTGTGGTTCACTTTTATCCTAAGTTTGAATTTTATTCTCTTTGTTTTGAACTCATGATCATAAAATTCATATTACCATACCCCAAACAAAGGGAAGCAAAATTTAAACCTAGGTTATAATAAAATAAAACCACAGCATAGCCATTTGCTTTGAAACAACTGACATCTTTAAGACCAAGGTATGATTGATGTTCATGGCACATTGCCCGTTAATATGTTTAAAGTTGCCTTTTATTGATGTATTAAATAACCTGATCCATCTTATCTTTTCAAATAATACAATTGCACTTACTTCTCATCATAGGTTTGTAAATACAATATTATTAGACTTACAGTTTTATCTCATCGCCAACATGTTTTAATTTGGGCTTGAAAAAAACGCTACAGCTAAGAAGGAGCTCCACTGCTACACTATTACTGTCGAGGAAATACACCTGGCTGCTTCGATCTACGTTATCTTTCAGCATGTTTGTATTTAAGCCAAAACCCTAGGAAAAGCGTCAAGCAAAAGTAGTTCATTGCTTTTTGAGTTAGACCCAGTATAGATTCGCTTGAGTTCCAAATATGGCTGTGTTTTGAGAGTTTTTGTCCCGACTGTAGCTTCTTTCAACTGCTGTTGGAGCATATTTTGTAGTTTAGTAAAACGCAAAAAGGTGAAAAATGTCATGACATTATTACCTCCGTATTATTTCAAGCACCTCATGAGAATATAGTTCATTAGTAAAATAGCGACCTTAAGTGTTGTTTCGACGCTTCTCTATCATCGATCTTAATACCGGGTTCTTGATCCTTACCGGCCATATTGGATTTTTATGGAGGTTTCCGCTGACAACTCGTTCCCAGACTTCCGTTCCCCGTTCCCCGCTCCCCGCTCCCCGCTCCCCGCTCCCCGTTCCCCGTTTTAGTAACATCCCTTTTTGAGGCGCCGTTTTCAGTTATCGGTAAACAAAGTATTTTGACTCCACTACACAACATCAACAGACAAAACGTAATGGCAAATAAGTTTATTTTGGGACGGCTTGGCGAGAACCAACCCTACAAAGTATTTATGTAAATACAATAATAGGTGAATACTGGTGAATACCTAATGTACAACACTTGTAAACTAGCTTTCACAAAAAGATAAAACTCGTGCGACAAATGGTCGCTCTTGACCTGAATCTCCCATTTAAGCAGGCAGGCTTAGTGCCAGGTAGGCTGCCAGTCATTCTGGGGAAACTAATTAATAAAACTCAGACAACGCATAACTGGCACACGGAACACGGTAGTAGCACAGAGGCTAAACAAAAAGAAAAAACTCCTCACAACTGGTCGATCTCGACCTGAATCCCCCAAATAAGCACACAGGCTTAGTGCCAGTTAGGCTGCCAGTTAGGCTGGGGAAACTAATTAATAAAACTCAGACAACGCATAACTGGCACGAGGAACACGGTAGGAGCACAGAGGCTAAGCAAAAAGAAAAAACTGCTACAACTGGTCGATCTCGACCTGAATCCCCCAAATAACCACACAGGCTTAGTGCCAGTTAGGCTGGAGAAACTAATTAATAAAACTCAGACAACGCATAACTGGCACGAGGAACACGGTAGGAGCACAGAGGCTAAGCAAAAAGAAAAAACTACTACAACTGGTCGATCTCGACCTGAATCCCCCAAATAAGCACGCAGGCTTAGTGCCAGTTAGGCCGGGGAAATTTAATAAAACTGTGATCAACGTATAACTGGGACCGGGAACACTTCAGGAACACAGAGGCTGAGCGCCAGGAAAACTGGGAATTATCTCCACTAATGTACCCAACAAGGCACGTAGCCCAATAACCAGTAAGACTGCCATAAAAGGCTAGGGCGGGACATTGAGGGTAAACAATGAATAACGACCCTGGCTAGAGGTCTGTAACATTGCCTGCAACCTAACTGCGTCAAACGAGACTTACGTCGCCTCCTAAAGAGCGGTTCCGGGACAGCTGACCTAAGCATACATGGAAACTGAATATATCAAGTAAAGGAGCAGGTGCAAAACTGAGATAACTAGTGTGCAAGTACATAAAATAAGAAACGGGAAAAAGGCTGAAAACTAGCAGAGCTGAGCTACCGCTTACAACCTGAAGTAAATGCGGTCAGACGGAGGCCAAAAACCTGCCCAAAAAAAAAAAAACCCGAAGGGAAAAAATGCGGGCAGGAAATCTGGGTAGGAACCAAGGCTCAAGCTCAAAGCCCTTCCTACGGGACTTTACAATGTAATCGAGAATATGTTGCTCCTAAAATAAATAAAACAAAAATTTAAGAAAAACCAAGGAGAGGTTGGTTCGTAAGCCTAGATGACGAACACGTGATATGCGCAGCCTTATATACCCCCGATATGGCTACCCATGGTGCACCCGGCCTAGTACCCAGGCCCTGTTAGTATCTCGTGCCGTCAAAATATTTATTTCTGCCTTCTTCGGGGCTCATTCGTCAGAAATAACATATTTTGACTCCACTACACAACATCAACAGACAAAACGTAATGGCAAATAAGTTTATTTTGGGACGGCTTGGCGAGAACCAACCCTACAAAGTACGTAGAGTGACAAAGTATTGGGCGAAATGACAAATGAAAGCTCCTAGAGCCCAAGAAACTTGGAAACTGAAAGCCTTTTTCTAGGTCATCATCGGTAGGCGTCCTTGGCTAGAACGGACTTTCAGCGGCCGAGCCACTGAAACACACTGTCACAAACCCCATTATAAGCAGCGAAGGTGGCCCCTCACGAACGCAAGGAATATAAACCAAAAGTGGAAGAGTCAACCCCGACAATTCTCAGGTCCTTGCGAAAAGCCTCTAATTGTGACATAGCTGATAGGCTCGTTCTGGGAAACTAACTAAAAAGAGTTGTTCCCGCGAAACATGGGGCAAAAAATGAGATCCCCGGAGCTAAAGGGGATGGAAAAAAAGCAAGGTACCTCTTTAGAAGCTTGACAGGACAAGCAGGGCCAAACATTTCCGAAAAAATCACTTCGAGTCATCGTCCTTACAAAGTTGGTCGTTCTTGCTTTTGAGAACCTTAATGATCATGAAACCCTCATGAAAGAAAATATAATACCCCCTAATTATGGAGACCTCATCAAACCTAAAATCGTTTTGAAAACACACCTAGCCCCTTCAATAATCGAGTTATCCCTGGGAGAGGGGATACCCGCCATGGTATGAACCCATTTAATACCATAAACATCCGAGTCTACGACGCACTGGGAGTGCGACTCTTCAATGAGGTGTTGCAAATACAAGGCAACATGGCAGGGACTGGCAGGACAGGCCCAGGAATGAAGCTTACTAGCAGCAAAACATTTTTACTTGCGAGAAGCACGAAGGTACACCACTGTCGTACTAACTGCCTTTGAGGAGAGAACCGTCGATTGCATTGTAGACTGTCTGTCAGCCTCAGGGTTCAACCCTCTGGTGGGAAATTCTGGGGCCCGCGCTAGAAACCAGAGCGGAATATATCTGAAAAGTAATCGAAAATACAAAAGAAAATGTGAGGATCACGCAATAAAAAAGAAAAAACACCGGAAAAGGGAAGTGGGGGGTCAAAAGGCTACATGCAAAAACCTAATGGGTCCAAACCTAAAGGTACGCATAACACGCGTGTAGAGGCACAGGCAACACTTTCCGTCAGGCGGCGTAGAGCAGAAGCCCGCCAGGGACGAGGGAGGTGTGGGGCGCCGAAAATAAACTCGAAGCGCTATGACGCCAAAAAATAAAGGCCTGGTTCTGAAAAGGGAATTACGGACCTTCCCTGGAACAAATAATCCCTGGAACTTAAGCAATAAAACCCAGTCCACAACAAAACTATTCCAATGCACTCCATCTTTAGTAGAAACATTTCAGAAAATAGCTGACTTCCATACGTGAGGAATAAGGGCTCCCGTGAGCGCGCAGAGCCCAATGTGTCTGATATACATGACTCTGACAATGAGGCAAACAGGTGGGCCAAGCCAGTTGTTGTCCTATCCCCAATTTTGAGCGAAGGCATAAACAAACTAACAACCTGGCTGAAAAAATAGAGAGTTAAGCCAAGGCAACTCGCCGTAGTAACTACAGGCGAACCTGTCAATAATGTAAGGACCTAAGAGGTGATTTAGCCCTAGCAAAACAAAATCGTTGAGGTCGTAACCATCGAAGTCAACGAGCTTGCAGATACAGACCGCACTAGCGTTCAGGTCCCTAAGGATCCACTTGACCTCGAACGAAATACAATGATGGGAGCAAATTTGAAAAGCAACTAGGGCTAAATTCTTTGAGATCGCATTTCCTGCTGCCGTCGCGGAGAATGGATTCGACGTATTGGTTGTCAGAATACCAAAAAACCTTGGAATTAGATGAAGGGCTCGCGAAGGCTAGTAAGGCAAGGCAAACCGCTTTGAGCTCTCTTCAAGTCGATCTACGAACACTTTCCGACCAATTCTGATAAAAAATCAACTCAGGTTCAGACTCCACTTAAACGCCGCAGGCTGAATCGGAAGCATAGGAGAAGCCGGAGCTTACTCTCACTGGAAGCGAACTGGAACCCCTCGATAAATTTAGCCGTAGAGAGGCTAACATAATTCGACTAAAATTCAATTTCATACAAAGAATCAACGGACAGGAAAACCTAGCTATCCCAGGAAACAGCTGAGTAAACAACTGAGAAAAGAAATCGGGCCATAACGCACGCGACGGATCCCACGCTACTCGAGAGGGAAATACTATGGGCGGCTACACACGGGACGCGTAGAAAGTGGACTGTGGTGGACGACTAATATGAAGACAAAGCCGCCAGGTCGCGAGACAATTTAGCAATGCGTTCATCCGTGGCTCTAATACTTTCATCCAGAGTGTTATGCTGAGATGAACGCGAAGCCACTAGAAAATTCGAACGGGCTCCCACAGGGACTTTTCCTCATAGGAATTCGAACAAAGCGAGACTAAAGCAAATCGGCATGGACAGCCCGCAAACTGTAAATTAAGGCCTGAACGCGATAAGCTCCTCCTCCTATAGCTAGACCATAGTCAAGAAAAATGGCAATAGGGATACCTTGGCTTCTTCTAGATTTCTGAAGCGGTTTGAGGGAGGCTGACAAGAACCCAAAGGGAAGCGCGCAAAGTGGAAAATACCTAAAAACCCAGGTGCCGAGATCCCAGGTGAACGCAAGGAAATACTGGTGATCAGGGAAAATAACGATAACCGCACTAGAGGTAAAATATGAATAAATAAAAACCCATATCAAAAATATAAGTGGCCATGGACAAGTCTTCGCACTTGAATTTCTGTTTGAAGAAAAAAGTGCAAACGTGCCTAAAATCCAGGATTAACCTTTGTTAGCCGGAGCGGCGCGTCAAACAGAAAGCGGGTAAATGATATTGGAATGCAAAAAGTTTTAAAAGGAGGTTGAGGCTGGGAAGCTCATTAACAGCTACGGACAAAAAGAACTGTAAACACGTGCAGAGGCATTGTAGGATTTGTAAAAAAAACATAAAAAGCTGGAAGAAGGGAATTTGTAACTAAGACTAAAAACATTCAAAATGAACAGAGAAACTAGCAAAGTATGCCAGAAATAGATAACTGTGAAAAATCTTCCCCAAACTGAAGGCAGAATAGAAACATCAACGGTACACTCAGAGCTCTAAACCGCGCCTAAAACTAGCGGGGTGAACGTCAGAAGAAACTGGTATAATATCGAGACAATCCTGATCCATATTACGGCTTGCCGCCTAAAAAATTCAGTACTAAATTAGAATAGACTGCACCTGATTGTTGTCCTTCATCTAGCCATTTGGGAGTTTGGGATGTTTGGCTTGTCCATCGTCGGGTAACAGGAACGCTTTCCACGGGCAAAACAGGTCCCGACACTGGGTCGTCAAGAAGGCGAAAATTAAAACAGGAACGTTTGACATGAGGCTGGGGTTGCATATGTGAAGTTGAGGTGGACGCCGGCGTTCCCACTGGCGAGGATCTGTTTTTGAGTGGTCTTCTTCTTCTTACTGGCCTAGTACGCTACACGGCCGCAAAATTCTGCACTGTGGATCCTTTAAAACTGGTTTTCGTTGGCCTTCTTCTTGAACTTACGTGGTTCGTTATACCTTAGTTTCTGAATTTCCTTCATCTGCTGCTCGGCCAAATATTCATTAGCGCGCTTGATTTGACCAACGGTTTCTGTTAACAAAACTTTAAACGAGTCCATTCACTGTTTGTTATTCTCCTCAATGAGATCGGACACTTCGTCTTTGCTGACGGATATAACGCAAGAAAGAGCCGATAAGAACGTTAAGAAAAACCAAGGAGAGGTTGGTTCGTAAGCCTAGATGACGAACACGTGATATACGCAGCCTTATATACCCCCGATATGGCTACCCATGGTGCACCCGGCCTAGTACCCAGGCCCTGTTGTATCTCGTGCCGTCAAAATATTTATTTCTGCCTTCTTCGCGGGCTCATTCGTCAGAAATAACATATTTCGAATGAAAGCTGAACATTTCGGCTTTAAGATGAAGGTTTTGGCGAGATGAAAGCTTGCGAAACAGTCGCAGAAGACGCCGTTCTGTTCAGGTGAATAAACATTTCATGGCTAATATTTACGCTGTTTACTGCGCAGTAAAATTAGTGCTGCTCAGAAAAGGGTAGGTAATATGTGATATTTTCAAAGAAACGGTTTTATATTTAACTTAAAGATACTTAAAGAAGTCAGGTTCTCAGAAAGTTTACTAATTCTTCTTGAAATTCGATTTGTTTGGAATAACGGAGCCCAGAAACATTCACTAAGTATTGATGTAATTTGCCCAGTATCCGGACAGTTTTTTCTTTGCTGTACAGAATCGATGAATTAACTGCGTACATTATCCGGATAAGATTTATTTCATATCTGTAACTATAATTAAAGCTTAGGATATATCATATAGTCGTAAAATGTAATTCTACTCAACTCCGTACGGAAATTTTCTTCACTAATTCGGAGGCGACTTGATTTCATGTGCGCCGCTTGTTTCGGGTGACTGCATTTTCTATATATAACCGAAAGCGTCGGAGTTGAACCTGGAATTCTCATACTTTCCCCAGTTGTGACTGCTAAAATGGGGTTGCAACGGTCTGAAAAATGTCACAAAGGGATTGAGAGATGTGAAAGAAGGAGGAATTAGTGCTAGAAAAGCAGGCTTATTTAGGGTCTGCAGGGACGGAGCATGAAGAAATCATCAACACTGCAGGTCAGACTGAATAGGAGAGTGACCTTTGACCGTCGCAGTGAGGTCCCTTCCCCAAGCTTTTTTTTTTTTAAAACGAAAAATGAAGAAAAAAAGTCGTTTGCAGATTGGCTAATTAAGCTAGCAAACCGCGGCTTCCGCATGTCCACGGATGTCTTCCTTAAATCAGTGAAAAAGTTCCTAGACAAGGAAGTATGAGTTATGACATTTAACAACCGCTCGCGTTCCCCACCATACCACATTCATTTGTTATGTTTTATTTCACGATGCTAGGTTATATTTTTGGAATCGATTGCCAGACTACTTTGCAAGTGCAAGAGAAGCTTATAAGTCGCTTGCTTGTCGAAATTTGTGTACAATTACGTTGTTATTGTTGTGTCCGGATACTGGGCCAGCTGTCCGGATACTGGGCAACATAGGAGCTCTGCAAAAATACTAATTTCGCCATGGAAACAAAGGCAGAAAATTTAAACTGTCTTTCTTCATATTAAGGACTAAATAGATTTTCTCTGGGCCAAATTTCAGAGTTCTTGCGACTAACAAAGGAAAGTTATTGCAATGTTAAACTGAAGTGTCCGGATACTGGGCAACATACTGTACCGGTTTTTTTTTTTTTCAGAAAATGAAAACTTATTTAAGAATCTAATTAGCCTAAATTTGTGCTAATTAACATTTATGTAAGAACCTTTTGAGGTAGACTGCAAAACAGTCCGTATTTTTGCGTATTCAACCACGCGCTAGCAGTCAAACAAAAGGTCTGGAACGAGGCTGAAAACAGAGAGCGAGACTGGCGAGAGACGCTACGAGCGTGTGAGGCTCGCGCGCTTCGCGCGCGCAAGACTCTTACGCCACGTTTTACCGATTTCTTTGCTGATTTTGAGAAAAAAAGACCGACTGTTTTGCGGTCTACTTTTGAGGCTAACTTGGGAAGATGCAGGTTCTTATATAGCAGCGGGCTTTTACGGTACGAATTTCGCGAATCTGCGACTGAAACAGTCAAAGATTCGACTTAGGTTCGACAGTTGATTCAGACGCCCCATTTCACAAGTTTCGAATTTAATGCATTCATTATAGAAACTATTATCCAAATTGGATAACAAGTTGTTTTAGAGGCCGGGATTATTTACAACAAACGCAGTTAAATTCGGCACCATTATATCCGACGTCTAAATCAACTGCCGTATTAATTATTTGGGCGTCGCCCAAATAGAGTAATCGAGATCGCTTGTTTTGATTAAAAGTTGCAATAGGCAAGCCATACTTGCGAACGTAAACAAGCCAAGCGACACGATTGTCTGCTGGGTGATGTGTGACGACACAGCATTTATCGTCGTTACATACGTCCCACAGATAACGCACGGAAAACAAATTGGCAATAGAAAACAAACGTATTGAAAAAAGAAGATACACTAAGTGGAACAAACTACTATTAAATAATTTAAGTTTTCTGTTTGGGAAATAATTGCCCTCGCAGCACACGGCGTGAATGTTTTTCCTCCGGACCAAAGGTACCGGTCATTACCCTTCTTCATTGTACATGAGACTATTCATTGCCAGTAAGGACATAAACGATTTTTCAGAAATTCGAAGGTGAATCTGTTGAAAATAATTGGAATTAACGGGGTTGGCTTATTGACAAGAGTTTGACAATATTATTTACCCTGAGATGTTGAGAGCCAAATACCTTGGCTCCAGAGGTCGATGCGTTCTCAGTACACTTAATATTAAATAAACCGTGCTTACGGTTTGATAAGGCTGCCGAGACTGACCTCTGGTTACACAAGCAAGCAACCTCATTTCCCTGCGAGAAATCAGTTCAGAATCTCAGAATCTGAACTGGGTCGCCCATTGGTTACTCTCACCTCCGCAGGGAATTAACGCTGTGACAGTGAATTTGATTGGCTGCATTGAAGAACTTTCACCGCATGAGATAAACAAACCGGTTGCGATGTTCATAACAAACAATATAATCCCGTGCTATAATTCGGAGATCTCGGCTTTCATGTTTCCTTTTGGAGGTGTGGCTAAGCAATCTGCGGCTAAACTTCGAAATAACTGAAGCGACATCCGACAACTAAATCAACGTTGCTCAAGGAAAAAGCTTTGTTTAAACTTTTCCTACCAAAGTACGTACTTTGAATGAATGTGATGATTTCCTGCTATGCTTTGTCTTGCTGAGCTCAGTTCTGTAGTGTTACGTTGTTTGCATGATGTCCATGATGTTGAAATCTCACGGATAGTACCCTGGGTGCAAACGGGTTTTTTTTCTTTTTTCCTTATTCCTGATAGTTCGCGGCGCGGTTGATTTGCTAAAAAATTCTGCAGAATGATGTTTTGTTTGGCATAGCCGTTTCGTCTGGCAATATTTAGGGACGGACCATTAGAAAAGTTATGAGGGGAGCGGGGGGGTGGGGAATTTTCGAGCCGCAGGAATTTTTTTTCGTTATCAAATTCCTCGTATGAATTTTTTTCATTTAATTTTCCCTTACGCGAATTTTTTTTTTTGTACTTCTCCTCCCCCCTCCCCCGCGCCCAAAAGTTTTCTAATGGTCCATCCCTTAGGTTGACCTGGTACAGCAATACAAGTGTCGCGGACCGGGAATTCTTTTTATCTTGATGACTTCTAAAAACATACAGAGAGTGTACTTCTCAGACTTGTCAGCTAACCGTTCTGTCCATTTTATATCCTTTAAACTTGAAGTGTGTTTTTTGGAAAAGAATTTGTGACAATTTTTAATAGCACTTTCCTTTCTAAGTGAGCTTTCGCGCAATCCTATTGTCATGCATCGCAGACGCAGAGTCGCCTACGATCAAATCTCAGCTGTCAGCGTCAATGAAACAAACATGCACATCACCTCCAAACGAGTTTGGTGAGATATATGATCCTAAAATTGCATGGAAATGAGACTCGCAGCTCCTGTGACCAGAGGTTATTTTTTTCTCGCTTGGTTCATTCGCTGAGCCGCCTGGCAAGCGTGATTACTTGTTAAATTTCCGTCCGGGATCCCGGCATTACATTACTGGGATCCCAGCTAACCGGGCTGGTAAACTAAGGTGCCGAGATCTAATGTAATCAGGCCATTAGTTCTGCAGCCAAATTTTACGCCCTTCCCCTTGACCTCACCGATTTTTCAAAGCCTTCCGAACACACACACAAAATTTCAGCCCCCCCCCCTCTCTCAACGTGTTCATACCCTCCTTCTCTATATAAAAATGTACTTTCCCTTATCCACGTTTTTCCATACAAAAATTATCAAAAATAAGCAAAAAACAATCAGAAAGCCTAGCAACATTTAAAATAAGTACAAGTATGTTTTCCACTGTTGTTCAGATCTCTCACAACCACCACTTCATTTCAACAGACTTTAACTACACTATCCCTTCAAAACCAGATTAGCACTCCCACAACCACCTCACTGCAACTCCTAAAATCACTTTTACCTTTGTTACTTCATATTAAATGCTGCGAGAAACCAGTTTCACTTATTAACAAACTACTAAAAGCCATTATCTTACCAATCCACGTCCAATATAACTCCACGCCTTCCACTACACTCATCTCAACCAACCCCTAAAATGTACAACCCTACTGCACTACTCACACATCCCTGATACACACAAAAAACTTCAACACGGTTAGCACATCGACGCCCATATATACGCTCCCACAGCGTATTGTTATTTTAGTAGACTAAAATGGGACTTAAGCTACAACAACAACAGCAACAACTTTATTCTTTGTACAAAAGTACAAAAGTTGGATGGTTTGCCCCGCAATTAGCTGGAAAGCTAGTCGTGGCGGGGCAAGCAAGACAAGTACAAGAATAACACAAATTTTTTAATGAAAAAAACGTCATACGGAATGGTTTTCAGAATATGTAGGTTCAGGATAAGAGGAGAATTCGCGAATTAGGATCCGAGCACACAAAACACGTCTGCACAGCTCAGTGCACACATCTGTGCACACATACGTGCGGACGGACGCAACAATTCCCAACATTGTTGGCCTAACAATGTTGGGAGTTGTTGCGTCTGTTTTGGCAGTGGTGTGCAAACGGATGCAACAACTCCCAACAAAGTTGGGACCTGCAGTGCATCGTGGAAAGGATACAACCAATAAGACCTTGAAAACCATGTGTAATGCGCGTGCGTGGCCCTAACAGTGTTGGAAGAGCAGTGTAAATGGATTCAAAATTGATGTGCTATGACAGACAGGCACGGGAGAACTTTTGGCCTATAACGGTACTATCTTGCCTAAACAAAGTATTTGTGCGGCTGCTAGGCAACCAAATTACAAGTAAGTTTGACTGCTATCTCGGAGACTATCTTACTTCCTATCTTGGACATCACAGTTGTGAATCAACACTCATTGGCCTTGTGGGGGACTGGAAACGTGCTAAAGACAACCAGTCATCTGTCGGTATCCTCTCAATGGACATGTCGAAAGCGTTTGACTGTCTGCATCAACCACTCATGTTATGCAAGCTAAAGGCCTATGGTTTCCGAGACAAGGCGGTAGACATGCTTCAGAGTTACTTGTACGCCAATGTCGTGTACAAATCGGGACGGTAAGAAGGTCTTGGAGGCCAGTAAATCGTGGCGGCCCTCAGGGGTCAGTCTTAGGACCGCTTCTTTGGAACATCTTTCAGAACGTTCTGCAGATGACCATCAAATTTACGAGATAACAAAGAAACATGCACTGTAGTGGCCCAACTACAGGAGAGCGCAACCCTAGCAACCAACCGGTATGATTCGAATCTACTTCTGGGCAACCTTCAGAAGTATCAGATGATGAATATAGCAAACAAACGCCCAAGTAATGAGCAAACGAGTATAACTGTTAAGGGCGAGATTATAACTGGGTCTGAAAATCTAAAACTCCTTGGCGTAACTATTGATAGTAGACTCAACTTTAGCGAACACATCAATAGCGTATGCAAGAAAGCAAGTCAGACCTGGAGTCAGAGGTTCAGCGAGCCGTGAGGCAGTTAACTGAAGGAATCGACACTTACAACTCTATAAATCGGCAATTCTCCCCCCACCCCCTCACTTACTGACGATCTTTTGTTATCGTTGGTGTATTTTATGTAGATATATGTATGTATTCATTCATTAGACATACCCTGGATTTTAGAACATAAGAACGGGTTAATTTATTACTTTCAGGTGTATACCAGCTATTGATGAGCGGATGTTTGATCTGGGATGCCTCGGTCCAGCCGTAAGTATCATCAAAGAACAGTGAACAGCGTGAATGGTCAGAGTGGTCGGGGGAAACTGGAAGCTTCTATTATTTTTCTATGTGGGTTGTTGTTAACCTTATCATTCGGGGCTATGGTCTTAGTTCTCAGGTATACCTTATTACATGAAATTTTCGCGACGCGTTAATTTCGCGAATTTCGCGATACAAAAAAAAAATCGCTAAATAAAAGTGAGGCGAACAATAAATGTTGCGAACATAACATGACGCGAAAATTAAAGTGCCTTAAGTTATGTCCATAATCAAGAAAGAACGGGTTTATTATCACTGAAACGTTTGCAAAATCACATTTTTTACTTTTCTGAGGAATTTTCAGTGTAAATTGAGGTTGTGGTCAATTTACTCAAGAACAATAATTTTTGTATTGAAGCACGAGTTGCTTGTGAACATTGTGAGAACTGCTTTGTTGTTATACTGTTGACATTTATTCCCGCTTTTGCGTTTTTCTTAATTTTGATAAAGTCGTTTTATTTAGTTCAAGGACATGCTGAATAACATTGTCCTTGAAATGTAAATTATAAATTTTTCGCAAAATTGCGAAATAAACTTGTTGAGAAAATTTCATGTAATAAGGTATTAAAAGTGAGGGGTTGTGGATTGAAGGTTTTTTTGCGACGGAAAGGAAGAAATTTTTATGACCTGCTTTTCTTCTTTTCATAAAAAATTTTATACATGGCAATATGCAATATTAACTTCTGCTTTTAATCCTTAGGCCACTGAACGTTTAGCAGGTCCCTGACTTTCAAACCATGATTTTTGGGGGGTTTGTGAAGATCGAGCTTTCGTTTCCAAACACTGATATTCCGATTTTTCCAATATATTATAATATTTATCTTTTTTTATATTTATATTTTGTCTGTTTGTATGTTCTCCAGAGCTTATACAAATTTTTTTTGCCGGTATAAACAAGGTTTATCACGGACAATGTGAACGTGGGGCATTTTATATTTTTTCAAGACATGCAGATGTAATACAGAACCTGATTGAGCTTTGCCACAAGCAGTACAATAATAATATTGAGCAATTCAAGACTAGATAGATTATTTGAGACCAATTTTTTTGCGATTCGAGGTTGTAAAGAATTAGGATAACATCCTCCAAGAGCTGCATAATTCTTCACATCATACCAAAGCCGAATACAGTATTAAGTAATTGTTTTATCATTTAATCAAAATATTTTTAAGTTCTTAACAAGTTTACCTCCTCGTAGACTTTCTTCTAAACCTTAGCCTATTTTTCGGCACAGTTTCAGGACATAAACACATTTTTTTTCTTGCAGATACTCCTCAAAAAGTAGATAACATGCATCCATCGAGCAAAATATTTTGCCTATTTTTGCTTTCGCTCCGTTCAGTTTCAGTCAGAAATTCAGCTATTTCGTCTCCAGATAGCTGTAAACGCCAGCTTTTTTAGTTTACTCGTGAACAAACAGCTAGGCCGCCGCGCCTGGAAACGACGTTGATCGATGGTCTATTGCCCATGCTGCCTCGTTTTCAATCAAATATACAATCGAATCGGTGGTATATTGCACGCATCTTCCAAATTTGGTCAGCGCCGGTTAGTAATGAAGAATTAGCCGGGGAGTGATTTTAGCCAATTATAAACGGCGAAGTATATTGTGAATGAATAGAGAATTTTAGATCCGAGTTTACCGCGAACCTCTAACCGCTGGAGGTCACGTGACAAGTCTTTCGCGTCACGTTTGAGGTTTACGACGTTCGTTTTCAGCGTTGGGAGGTAGGTTCTCACGTATGTCATTTACCTGAAACCTTTTAGCGTATAATTCTTGTTTTATCCCACTTAATGATACAAAAATCTTGCGGAGCAAGTCTTTGTCTATTAACAGAGGCACAAATTCGTGCGAAATTCTGAATTTGATAAATCCTATTTGATCTTGAAAACAAGTGCCATTCATGGCTGCTGATTCAACATGGCGGCCGTAATCTAATCCATCGCCAATCTAAATCGAATTATGTTTGAACGTCGAACCGCAAACGGGTAACGGCAAACCGCGATTATAGGTTCGCGGTTAACTCGGATCTAAAACTCTCTAATAATAATGATCGTTTTTGTGGTGCATATACTGTAGATATATCGCGATACAATACAGTGTGATATGTGACTTGCTTGGATGGTCAAATTTTTAGCTGAACACAGAGCTTATTATTTACCATGTGACAATGTTTTACTTCACAATTTTTTTCTTTTCTAGCTTGCCATTATTGTTGTTTTGGCATGTCTCAAAAGAAGGAAAAAACTTGAACTTGAATTCTACAGTGGACATCCAGGGCTACTGGTGTAAGTGTTCTTTTAAGCGGTTTAGGGTTCCGACACTCAACTGAACTATTTGTAAACAATATAAATATTTACCCATTTCTGTTATTTCCCATAAACTAAATGATGTATGAGTTTTACATCGTCTATCTTGTAAATATAGAGACTAAAGTCGACTCCCGATAACTCGAACATTTTCGGGAAATCGAAAGAGGTTCGAGGTATCCGGAGTTCGAAGGAAAAAAAAGGGAAATAAGGAAATGGATAGGACTTGGAATAAGGGATGCAAGTACCATGCACACTTCACTTGAAGGGCAGCAAGAGATATATTAAGCTTTCTTGATACACAGAGCTGGATACTGTTTTAATCTGGACAGGCACAAAAGTAAGGACAAAGAACACACGGGTTGCTTTCAAATCAATTTAATGTTTTGAACTTGAGTACACTTTTTTTGGCTTGTCACGCGCTTAAAACAGGCTAGGGTTCGAGTCATCGAGCGTAAAATCATGTTGACATGTTCCGCTGAAGGGAAACAAAACTTACTTCGAGTTAGTGGGAGGTTCAAGTTATCGAGGGTTCGAGTTATGGAAGGTAAAATTACAGTAACTGTATGAAGAAAGTCCGGGGCAATCGATTTTGGTTCGAGTAAGCGCGAAATTCGAGTTAGCGAGGGTTCGAGTTATCGGGAGTCGACTGTAGTTCTTGGGTCAAGCTTCTCAGAATGCTGTCGTTTCTTCAAAAACGAGTCCTATTTGATGACATTTTTCAAGAAAAGTGAACATGCCATGATTCCCTGCTTTATCAGTCTAAACATCCTACATATAAATTTTCTCTTAAGGTGATTTTGGTTGTTTTATGGTCCCAGAGTAGGCCTTTTCTATATGCCCAGTAAATTTTACATTTAAAGATTCGTGCGAATTTGGGCCAACAACGTTGCCAGCAGTGTTCGGAGTTGTTGCGTCCGTGTTGGCAGTGATGTGCAAAGTGATGCGACAATGTTGGGACCTGCAGTGCATCGTGGGCAGGATACAACCCATAAGACCTTGTAAACGTCAAATAGACCATGTATAGTGCGCAATGTTGGAAGAGCTATGCACAGGGATCCAACATTGTTGCGCTTCGACGATCACGGAATTAAAGAAATGTTGGGAGTTGTTAGCTGAAACGTTTGATCGGTTTCAAACTTTGCGCAACAACTCCCAACAGCGCGTAACAACACGCAACAGAGTGTGCAAACGGACATAACATGTAACATCCAACAATGTTGAGAGTTGTTGGCCAACATTGTTGCGTCTGTTTGCATGGGGCTTAATGTTTGGAGTCCAAAACAAGCTGGCGCCTGCAAATGTCAGGGGCAAAATGTTTTTGGATTTATGTCACGCCATTGACCGTATAAATCAATATTTTGTTTGCTTTTTGTTTGTTTGTATCCATCCTCAGACCAATCAACTTTCTGCGTAGTTTTAGCTACAGCAACAGGTTCACTATCGCCGCTACCTTTGGAGCCACGGCCAGTACTTGTCTGCGAATATTCACTTATGGAAAAACTGGCTTATTTCCTTTGGGCGGCCCTGCCTGGGTGAAAGGTGGGAGGCAAAGTAATTCATTAACCCTTTAAACCTTAAGATCAAAATTTGAATTTTCATTAGTTGCGCCTATTCAATTCCTACAGAAGAAGTGGAGAGAAGTTGACAAAATATCAATCAAATTCATCTTGTGTGATCATGTCCTTAATTCTCACGACCACTCTGCTTTACAAAGCATTGATATTACAAGGAGAAATTCGATGCTGATCACTCTTAGGGCTTAAAGGGTTAAGCAAAGTACCCAGTTTTTTTTAGAGAAATTCACATTAGAGCATACGTTTTCGCATGTTTCAGTAACCCATCAAATTCATTCCAGAACTGTCGCCTGTACTTCCTTGAACTAATTTCCCCCTTCCTTATAGTCTCCCCTTGAAAAGAGGGGGGGAAAGTGAAAGAAGTGGCGAGGAAAGAAAGCGAAAGTTAAAATAAAGGAGCAGTGTCACTTGAAACCCTAAAACGAAATTTGGCCTTCGGCGCATGCCCAAACGGAATCAGGATCCGAAGGCGGCGCAGTCAGTTTGATCCTCTTTCGCCAGATAGTGGTCACGAGTTCACGAACAACAATTTTGCGTTTCACGAGTCACGAAACAAATACTGTAATTATGGACCTTTGACCTCGGCCATGTGTTCGGGTGATCTCTGCGCAGCTATAGTTCCCTTTCTAAGCTAGCTGTAGGTGGGTCTGAGTGCACTGAAGTGTGAAGATACATCAAAAGACTCAAAAGTGAAGTTAAATGAAGCCACAAGATGATAGTTAAGGTCATTTGGCCAAATGAACGATTTATTTTCTCCAATTGATCTTTAATGTACGTGTTTACAATCAAGGATTTTGGCAGTTCACGTTTCACCGAGTGCACTTCAATCACGATTCACAGAAGCGTTTTTCAGTTTATCACGATTCACGATCTCCGCGTCACGAAAATAAGCTTCCCCCTTATAAATTTAGTGGCCGTTATACTAGTTTTGTAGTTAACTCTCTCTAAGACGGACACTTTGGGACCGGCACTAAGTGTTCGTCTAAAAGTGATGTCCGTCTTATAATAGCGAGTCAACTAAAATTAAGGAGTGACCGAGAAAGGCTGGGACCAACTGTAGGTGTCCGTTTCACCGAGGTGTTCATTAAGAGAGAGTCGACTGTACAGCATATATAATGTACTTATCAGTTTGAACATCTAGAAATAATTTTGTTGTCATTTTACAGTGACATGATGTGATGTCACTTGATTTCATATTGTTGAATTTATTGGCTGAAATCCGTATTTCACCATTCTTTCCCATAAAAATAGCTAGAAAGTGCCAAACTTAAATATGAGCGTGTCCGATAAAGTTGAAGAAGATGAAGTTGCATTGGCTAACACATTCAGAATCTTTAACAATAGCAGCGACGTTATGATGACGTTATAAGGGAGCTTAAGCAACAACGACGGCGACGGCTATGAACTCGTCTCTTAAAGGTGAATTCGCGCTGCTTCAAACTTTATCACGCTTATTCCACCTCGTTCGTATCGTCAAATGTTGGCAATTTTTTCTGGAGTTTAATTCTTAAAGACTGTATCGAAGTTCAGGAAAAGAAAAAGAAAGTCGTTCTCTTGTTCACGTCCTCAGCAAAAACGTTAAATAAGGCACTTCCACGTAGCAGTCGTGCATTGACTGGGAAGATTTGTACAAAAAGTGTGATGCACGTGCAAAGTTGTTGTTTTGCCTATTTTTTGCCGTTCTCGTTGACGTCGCCGTCGTTGTTGATTAAGTTCCCTATTTATTATCAAAGAAGGGACTGGAACCATCTGCCATCTTGAATCTGACATTTTGAATTAATTATTCAAATGTGAATTTTATTTTGCTTAAAAACCATAATACACCTTGTTTGCCCCTTTTTTATCTCTCCTGGGTATTACAGTCGTCACAAGAGAAATTTAAGACAACGCTTATTATGTCATTTGGTCATTTTGATTCACGTTTTCCTCAAAATAGTACTTAAAAAGCCTGGAGTATTAACGGCTGTAATAGATTTAATAAAATAACGCTAAATTAAGTGAAATGCCAAATTCCAATCACTTGCCTGTAATATAGAAATAAAACAAAAAAATTTGCAATACTCTTGAAACTACGCTGCAGCTAATTTCGTTTTTCCAGAGTTTATCGGATACCGTGAATACTACACTTTTCGAGATCTGCTTGATTCTCTAAACCAAATGAACGGGGAATGTAGTCCAAATTTCTAATGTGGTGTAGAAAGTTTCTCTTTGACATGACGCCCTATGGTCTTATGTACTTTAATTTACAGTTTTTCATGGCCTCATTGCTGTTCTTGTGTATGGAATCTTGTTCTACCCATTTTTTGCCTGCCTTACAACAAAGTACAAACTAGTGGGAGCGTCTCTTGGATTTCTTTACGCTGCTATAAGGTTAGACATAGAATTACTTAAAACCCTAGGGATACCCGGTACCCTAGGGAGGTCCTCCGTTTAGCTTATCAGAAGTTACTGATAGGGAATTCTTTTGAACGTGCATTTTGCATCAGGGTACAAGAGAATAAATCAAGCACCTTCTGTTTTTGCAACCATCACTTGGTTTAGTGGTCGGGAAGAACGTACACGACTATCTGCTAGTTGTGGGGGGGGCACTGAACGCAGTTTGATGATGATGGTGGTGATGGAGATGATGATGATAATGATGATGGTGATGATAATGATGATGATGATGATGATGATGATTAGAATGATGAGATGTGATGACAATGATGATGGTAATGGTGACGCTTATCATGCTGGCACAAATTCCCGAGGATAGTACAAGCAAAGAAATCCTCGTCGAAACAAGACAAACAAGTCCAAGGAAACGCCTAGCTACCCTGCAGCTAATTTTCCGTTAACATCTTCTGCCAGCGCGGAATCGTATTTCGCAGGTTAAATTTGACAAAAAGTCACCAAACTGAGAAATTTCCCAGCGCCTTGCAACACTCATGAAGCGAATCCTTTCCTTATAGTTTATCATTTGCTGTTTCCTTTCTCACTGGCCTGAAACCACAAGTGGAAACGTTCTTCATCTGTAAGGCACATTACTATAATCAATGCATAGTTAACTTCATTCCTACACATACATTTCTTATCATTGTATTCTTTTTATGTTGTCCAGTCAATTTTAATAGTATTCTGCTTGTGTTTACCTTGTTGTCGATTTTGATATTAATACAAAAGAGAATCCCTTTCCTACTCACGACACAACCCTGCAACCGGAAATGGTCAATTGCGCCCTCAACCAACCCTCACTACGGACTGTGTTAAAAATTTGTAATACAGTTGTTCGTTAAAAACCATATAGCGTACATACTTCCTTTTACTCTGACCTGCTTAAAAAATGTCTTTTTTGTTCTTTTCTGCTTCCAGGTTCTTTTTCCAACTTGGAATAAGTTTCCAGTGCTGGAGTTCGTATCATGTGAGAATTTAATTTATTTTCAACTGTTTTATTTAACTTTAAGGGGACTTCTTCTAACTCTTCAGACCCTGATTGATTTTCCCAGAAGAGTCACCTTACTACATGTAGGTCCTTCTTCAGATGTTCATTTTTTTTTTCAAAACCGATTCTAATGGAACAGAACTTCGCGGTGAAACGACCGAGCACGATGTAAAAAGTGGCACGTATGAAAGTAAGTTATTCAAGAATGCCTGACATGTAATAGGGAACGCGTGGCAGGACAGTCTTTTCGCAATCTCGTTGAGAGCCTTGTAGAAGATAACGACGTTAACCGTTAAAATTTTAACAGCCGAAAGTAAATTTATGAGATCACTTTATACTCAGTGATCACTATATACTGAGTGACAGTGGATCACAGGGTTTGTCTTAAGTTTTCTTGCTTCTCGATGTGTTGCTTCATGTGGTCATAAAGTACACTATAAACAGTCTGTAAGTACCATAGAACGCTTTTACTCACTTGGCCAGTATCAGCCCTTATTTAATTAATAAGAGAAGGCGTTTACGTAAGAAAACGTGCTCAGCTCTCAGGATTTCCTTGGTACATCAACATGGCCGCCGTTTCATTGTTTTTTTATCACCAACATGGCCACTGTGACGTCATGTGAAAACCCTCTTTTCAAGTAGGCGGTGTTGGCCGGTTAGGATTAGTTCCCGTTTGCCCAAACACCCATAAACATCTTATGACGTTTACACAACGTAGTAATCCTTATCGCTTTGGTTTCGAGCGCTGACTAAAGTGAATAGGGTTACGCAATACTGATTAGGGTTAAGCACTAAAAGTAGTGATTAAGGTTGGGCACTGTCTTGGAATGGCTGGCTTCTATTTAGGGTTAGGGTTGTTGCTGTTTAACTTCAAATCAAGTCTACCCTCAGCAGCAAATCTTTAGTGACGTAGTGGTCTAGATGGTGGACTCCGGACTCTATGCTGCGGGTTCGATTCTTATTCACGCTACTCTGAATATTCCATAAAAATTGAATTGACTTTCATGAGCATTTTGTGTAAACTTCATAAGGCTTCCAAAGGGGTTAGGCCGAGTGGATCTAATGCTAACCTTGTTTGGCCACTCAGTTTAAACTGTTGCGCGAGACTGGGTTGGAGTTTCGTCAAATTGCATTATGGGACTTGAGCAACTTCGAAACTTCGACACAACACGATCAAAATCAAAGAGCCAGAACACGGTGAAACAACGTCCTGTGAGAATTATTTGGCAGGGAAGATATCAGGACACCCCAGCTTTGAATGAAGGAGAAAGTGGAGGAGCGCGGATTGTTTACCCCATTTGAGAACAATGTCTCAACAATTTTGTCGTCGATTGTAGAACGTTTAGTGCGGGCGAGGACCCCAGAAATCAGTTTACAGTTGTCCAGATTGTTGACCTTTTAAGTGATGTATATTATTTGCGAATAATGTATATATAATGTTAAAGCTGATTTAATTGTGTCTTAAGGGTGAACTCAAACGAGTGTTATCTATAGAAGTTCTGGGATTTGTTCCAACCTACGCATGCCTTCTGTTTGTCATGGTGCGATTTGCTGTTTTACTATATCTTCAAGTGCGTCGAAAATGGTTTCGGGTAGGCTCCACTAGTGGCTTTATCGAGGTAAGAGTCCAAGAAGAGATAAATGTGAAAAATAATAAACAAGGCCAAAAACAACTCACAATAGGGACTTTAAGGTACACCGTTGCTGCCTATGGGTAGGGGTAGCAGGACATATTTGCCACGCAGTTATTCAAAAGGCGGCCATGATTTCCCAGATTTGATAATGGCATCACCGTTCTTGCCGGTAGCCTACCCGTTTCTCCGGGGTAAGAGGCCATCTACCAGTATTTACAGCTACGCGCACGGGTAAATTACCTGTACCCGTAAACGGAAACGTTGTATCTTAAGGTCTCTAATATAGGTTGAGTGAAGCTCGCGTGTACTTGGGCTTTGCCATGCGCTAATCTCGCGTTCGCCTCGTGCAAGCTTCAGGTGCGCGACATATTTAGATCACGGAGTACTTGTGTTAAGGTGTTTCGATACAGTCGGAGACCATACCAATATTCTTCAATCGCCTTGAAAGTGATTTTATCCTTTTCCGATCACTATAAAATTTTTGCCAGTGATTGACTATGAATTGTCTTTATCAAAACGCAGTTTAATTAAAATACTTTGAAATCCATAAAAGCCTAATTTTGCGCGATCTAACCTGCTACTGAAAATCCGACACCAGGAACTTAAAGTGTGGTGTTTAGCAAAAAACTTCCGCGAGAAGTAAAAAATTCAGTATATTTAAATTCAAATAAAACGTAAATATATATCAAACCTTATATTTTCAATAGCCGTGATAAAATGTTTGATAAACACTTAAAATTTTAATACAAGTATTCCGTGATCTAAGTATGCCACGCACCTAAAGCTTGGAGTCCTCTGCACGACTAGACTATGACATGGAATTTTCTTTAACCCACTAGAAAACCTGACCGTGACTTTTTCCTTCCTTCTCTAAGCTCTGGTGCTTTTTTTTCGTTTGCTTTCAAATGGAAAATTCCACTTGCAATAAATTAAACATCCTGAGCAGATTCGAATGATCGCGTGGAAGATAGAAACAGCGGACGAGGTAAAGTTGTCGTTGCCGTCCGCGTCGTCGTTGCTAAAGCTCAGCCCAAATCTTCTCATATCTAAAGACAAAGAAATAATTGGGATTTATCAGTCTGCCGTCAGACATACATAGCGTAAACGCGCTTTATCTGCTTTTTAACGGCTGATGAATTGAGCACTAATTTCAGTTCTAATTAAAAAGGGTTGTTGTGACCACTTCCCCACCCAATAAAATGTTGAATCTCAGGGAATTGAAAATTAAGGGTGTGCCCAACACCGCGCGTCACTGTATAGTTTTATTCAAGTGAGAGTAATAGTGTTTCTCGAGAGTTAGGCTAAACGTTTCTGGACCACCGTTCCATTCGTACAAGATATTCGGAGTTTTTCTACTAACTTTATAGCCCGCAAGAGCAGACGCCACTTTTGGCTTTCGTTTTTGTTTTTGTTTGTTTGTTGTGTTACTTTTTCACATTTAATTACCAAGATATTGAATATTGCTTAAAAGAGTCTTAGGCAAATTTTGGTGTAGACACGCAAAACGCCCCTGTAGAATTTTCCAATGAAAGCAAGTTTTTGTCCTCGAACTTTCAACCTGGCCCTTCAGGGTAACTAACAGTTTCGGATGTGACGAAAAAGCCACCTAGAACTTTGAAGACGACGAAAGTTCCCCTAAGACATCCGAACAGACAAAAAGTTTTAAGGCCAGCTCCAAATTAACCAACAGGCTTTCCACGCATGGAGAAAACCATTGCTCGGAGTAACCTTCTACAGCAAGATATAGATCGTCTACAGCGCTTACAGAATAGATCTACACGGATTATCCCACGTTGCTCTCGCTCATATGAAGTAATAGAGCAGTCGCACTGGCCGACTTTTTCCAGCAGACGCTCTTACCACAAGGCTAAACTCGTTTTTCTCTGTCTTCACTCATTAGTTCCTAGTTATTTTTTATTATATTTTACCAGATTTTCGAACATTCACAATTATTTCACAAGGTAAAGTATGAGGCTATCCCTACCAAACGTTAAACAGAATTTGGGGAAAAGGACCTTTTTTTTACTGACGCAAACATTTTTAACAAACTCCCCTTAAACAATGTTAAGAGTGAAAACATTCAGACGCTCTGCCGCCGAGTAAGACATTTCTTTTTATCATAACTTTGATATTTTATTATATTTTAGGCTTTAAATGTGATTTTGAATTGTATTTGTAGGCTTTTTAATGTAGTTCTTAAATTCTATTATTGTATTTTTATTAGGCTTTTTAAATGTAATAGTTTATGAAAATTCTGTAAATTATTTTTTTAAGATACAGGGCCCCTGTGGAGACCAGCCTTAGAGTTGAATGGGCTACCCTGTGTAAATAATAAAGTTTTACTTTACTTTACTTTACTTTACTTTACTTTACTTTACTTTACTTTACTTTACTTTACTTTACTTTACTTTACTTTACTTTACTTTACTTTACTTTACCTTACCTTACCTTACCTTACCTTACCTTACCTTACCTTACCTTACCTTACCTTACCTTACCTTACCTTACCTTACCTTACCTTACCTTACCTTACCTTACCTTACCTTACCTTACCTTACCTTACCTTACCTTACCTTACCTTACCTTACCTTACCTTACCTTACCTTACCTTACCTTACCTTACCTTACCTTACCTTACCTTACCTTACCTTACCTTACCTTACCTTACCTTACCTTACCTTACCTTACCTTACCTTACCTTACCTTACCTTACCTTACCTTACCTTACCTTACCTTACCTTACCTTACCTTACTTTACTTTACTTTACTTTACTTTACTTTACTTTACTGAGGCACTTCTGACGTATTTGGGAACATTCAGTCGTTGGGTTTCCCGGTTGTTAAAGAAAGAGCACCCAAGACGCCATGACCTAAAAAACAGTGGGAAATTCTGACGGCCAACTGGTTTAATAACGTTTGTTTTTGATCCTGTAGAGAATTTTCGAAGTCGATGACACTTCTTTGATTAAAGAACCAGGAATACGTTATGTGCGGCAGCTATTTAATCGGATGCCCCTTCTTAGACCGTGAGTATGAAATAATTGATTTGAGAAAATGGGAAGGCACCATAAAATGAAATAAACTAGTATTTTATTTGTGTTTGTATAACAAACAGAACATTATATGGCCGCTTGGAGATACAGAAAATTTCTCTTCCCGAGTCGACAAGTATTGTAACACTCAACGATTCTCCGCGCAACCTTGTAATATCCTCTGTGTAAAATAACAATAATCTCTTGCGCTTTCTTATTGGTTGAAAGCAATAGAGCAGTGGAGAATGTTTCAGAATTAAAGTGGACACTAGTCTCAAATGTCATCCGTCTCTATCTCTTCTCCCCACCACGTTGGGGGTGGGGCAAAGAGACGGATGACATTTCAGAGTAAAAGCGGACGGGAAGAATGACGGGAAGAGCTTTTCTCCAGCGCAGGCGAACAACACAATCAACTTAATGGGCTTTAAAAGTTAATTATTTCTTTCACACAGTGCTGTGGAATACGAAAAGTGGTATATGAGGCTGATTCATTTTATCTACAGGTCAAGAGCAGGTTTGTTTTTTAAATATCATTGTATTTTTTAATGCTGAAACTGAAAAGGTTGTAGAAAATCCATAACAGACACAATTTCAACCGACACGTGTTTCTATCTAATGCCGAGTTGGTGCTGATATAGATTGATGATGCTTTTTTTTTCATCTTTTGATATAACCTATACAGTAGAGTCTTGATTTCTTGAACTCTAAACTAACCCAGAGGGAGCCTGGACGCCATATAAGCCCCAGTCTTCCAGTTCAGGCTTCCCCGTCACCATCTTTTTGTATTTAGTAAAATCCAACTAGTGGTCTATTATCAATGCTGCGTTCTGATTGGTTGAGCCACTACTAGGCTATATGTTATAGCCCACTAGTAGCGAAAAGCACCGGCTTTGAAAGCAAAAACAATGGCGGCTAAATCGTGTTTTGCTAGCTAAAGTTATTTGTCTCGATATTTTTTACCAACTAGTTGGATTTTACTAAAACAATTATTCCTCTCGCCCTCATGGCCTCTGAGTCAATAGCCTATTCGGACTTCGGCCTCATGGGCTATTGACTCGGAGCCCATTCCCTCTCGAGGAGTAATTGTTAAATATATTTATTATATACAACCTGTAATGTGACAAAAACAAGACAAAAAATTTAAAAAAAATCAATCAATCAGTCAATCGATCAAGTTAACCCTCGCACAGTTTTTATAAACTACCGACGTACACTCAAACCAAAACTGACATCCCTTCACCAGCAAAAGCGCACTTCTACTCCGGGATTTTTCGAACCGATTTTTCTTTTTTGTGGGGTTTTCAAAAACTCGGTGCTTCACTCTAGTTATTTAAATAAAGCTTTTTGCCTACGAAAAAAATCCTGTTTTTTCAGACTTCAAATTTTCTACACAATTTATTTCAACTGTGGTAGTTGCTGCGATCGTGATCTTTCAGGTATGCTGAAGCCCTTTATCATTTCAATATTCATTAAATAATTATTAAATATTTTTATTCCTGGCCGTGAGCAGAACGAGTTAATAATTTTGTCGAAATTCGCATCGCGCGTTAAACGTGCTTGGATCGTACTGCACAGGGAGGCAAAAACATGAGGCGTCTTTATACAGCTAAATCAAAAAAAGGTTGCTTTGGTAATTAAACACTGGGCATTTGGACTTATGGAACAATGCAATGATTTACTTGAGTACCCACCAAACAATAGCTTTTCAATGCCCTATTCCCAATGCCTAAAGCGACCTTTATTGAATCAACTATATATATTCATATACCTTGATTTCCGGTTGGTAGTCGCGGTGACGTCATCGATTGTGCATGACGTCGAGTTGCATTAAGGTTTCCAAGCAACACTACTTCCACTGGATGCCCTATTATGTTTTATTCATGAAAGGCGGACATGGTTATTCATCCTAAAAAAATTTGTGTTGGTGAATCGCAACTCATTCTCCTCATGCAAATGCGGGGAACGGCAAACGGTACAACGCCGACAGCAAGAGACTTCGCGACGGTTTTGCGAGTCACTTAATACCGCTTTGTCTGCCATATATTCCTCAAATGCGACGAACTGAGTTTAAATGCGGCTTTCACCGTCAAAACCGCGCTTATTTTCCGCGAATATATCTTTGAATTCTTGATGAACACGGTTCCATCAGCTTCAAACAGCGTCTACCGCCAGAATTTCATAGGGGAAAACTTTAGAGATAATAATTTAACTGAAGTGTTTGACACTTGGTGATGTGGCGCAGTCGTCTAGGGGATAATAGGGACCTTAAGATCCAAGGACGGCGACGGAAGAGAAAACGTCGCTGAAAAAGGGAATTCACGTTCTTTCAATCTTCATCGCGATTACTCCAAGTTGCTAACTTTGTCAAATGTAGGCGAACCCTCCTAAAGTTGAATTTCTAAGAACCATATCCAAGTTCAGAAAGAGAGAGGAAATTTTGTCGTCGCTAGTGTACTTCCTCTGTACATCGTGAAATTGGGCATTTTCATGTCGTAGTCGTGCAGTGACGGCAAAGAAATGTTCCAAAAAGCGTGATGCACGTGCAAAATTGTTGCTTTGCTAATTAAACCTATTGCTTTTGTGGCGTTCCCGTTGCTGTCGCCGTCGTCGGATTTTGAAGTCCCTAATAGGGAGCTTAAGCAACTACGACGACGACCACAACGACGACTTCAAAAAAACAATAGGTTTAATGATCAAAACAACAGCTCTGCACGAGCTCCACGCTTTTTGGTACATTTCTTTGACGTCCACTGCACGACTACGACGTGAAGCCTCCTAATTTGACGTTTTATAGAGGACGTGGACCTACGACGACGAATTTTCCTTCCTCTTTTTAAACCTGAATAAAATCCTTTAAGAATTCAACTCACATATTGAGCCAACCTCGTCCCCAGGCCTTTTCCCCACCCATTTTTTGAGGGAAAAGCCCTGGGGACGAGGTTGATATTGAGCTGGTCCAAATAGACGCGATTAAGTTTGATAGAACGCAAATTCTTTTTTCTTACCGACGGTTTCACTGCCGTCGCCGTCGTCCTTGCTTAAGGTCCCTAATCTTGAATGTTGTAGGTCCAGGATTCGACTCCCGGCTAAAAAAAGTCTTATTTTCTGTTTTTGGTCGTTTCGGTTTTGTTTGTTTGATTGTTGTTGTTTTTTTTAATCATAATTATATGTTTTTACCCATTGGCTGGTTTCAATTTATTCATATTGCTGACCCGTCACACCTTCGCGAGGTGTTTCGATAAACGTATTCCTAGTATATATAGGGACTTTAAGATCCAACGACACGACGGCCACAAGAACGTCGCTTAAAAAGTGAATTTGAGTTTTCAGTCTGTCAATTGTAGGCGAACCCTCCTGAAGCTGAATTTCAAGGGAGCATATTCAAGCTCAGAAAGAGAAATAAAATTTCGTCGTTGCTTGTTTACGTTCTCCATAAAACGCGAAATTAGGCATTTTCACTTCGTAGTCGTGCAAAAACGGGAAAGAAATGTACAAAAAAGTGTGATGCACGTGCGAAGTTGTTGTGTTGCTAATTAAACCTATTGTTTTTTGACGTTCTCGTTGTCGTCCGCGTCTTTGGATCTTAAAGTCCCTATTGTTCGTAAAAGGGAGACCCAGGGACAGGCATGGTAAAGTATACATATTTTTGTAGTTTTTCTGTATGTGAATTTTTATTTCTTTCAATCTACGTTTTTTACAGTTGTCCGTTTCTATTTTTGCTGCCCTTGGCACTTCAAAGAAGTCGATCAGGACAATCCAAGATGAAACTATACGGACTATTTACGGCATTGTGCTAGGTAAGGAAGATGAAACTTTTGGTATCTACTATATTATGAATCATTTAAGTGAGCTACCAATGTAGCACCTAGTATATCCTTACTCAGAATTCACACTCTTATTATACCAATAAGCTTTTTTTTTTTAAATACCTCAATCCGCCTACTACCCCGCCCTCTGTCTGAAAAGCTGTTTCTCGAGTCAAAATGTCAAAGGTCAAAACGACATAAGCTGCGGTGTAGGAAGGTTTCATATGTTCGACATGTTTGTTAAACTCTGCGCGCGCTAAGCCAAATAATTGGCGTAAGTGTTGAAGTAAACTGTCACAATTGCTCAATCAAAGGGTATACCAGGAGCTGGAGAGAATCTCTCTTGTATACCGGAATGAGGTATTGAACACAATGCTTACAGGCTCCACTTCTCCGCCTCTGCCATTCCCCCACGCGGTTTTTGCGCACGTTTTCTCGATCCGCTTCCCCCACCATCTTGGATGACTTGCCTAGCTGGGTCAACCTTTTGGGATGGTAGGGACGCGCGCCCTCTTTTTTGTTTGAGTCTAACGGCGGAGGAATCGCTGCGGTTTTAGTTGCTGTTCGCTAGAGTCCATAATGGCTAGATGTTTGCAATGCAAGGGTTTTCTGTTCAACATTTTGGTTTTGTTTCCAGACAGCCTTCAGGGAGGTTTTGCTGTGTCAGCGTTGGTGACTGCTCTGTTGCTGCTGCATTTCATGAAGTGCCACCGGTAAAAAAGAGGATGGTGACATGTATATATTTTACCTATTGTAGGGGAGAGGGGGGGACTTTGTTGCCTTTGTAAGTCGCGATTTCCTAACGACTTGGGGGAAGTTAACTTAGACGTTCAGTTTGAAAAATAATCTCGTCTTCTGTTTCCAAAGAGCAAGAAATTGTATGTGACATTGGCTATTAGTAGTTACCAAATCAGTAGTTTTAGCACGTTTTGGTTAGCTCATGTAATTAGGAATATCCTTGGCTATTCACTGTTTTGTAATGGGAATCAATGTGGCGTCCCCTTTCGCGATAGTTTCAAAAGGAGATATTTTAAACAATAGGTGAAGCAAATGTGCCAGGCCTAGGGAAGCGGGGAAATCTGTTTTTTCGTTGTTAACTGGTATGTAAGAAAAATGTTTCCTCACTGAATTTGTATCAGTCGTGATAATCAACTCGAAACATCCCTGAAACACGGTCAATTAAAACTACCTATTACTAAATGAAATAGACAGTAGCTTTAAATCTATCCATGTCTTATTTGTTGCAGGGAGCATGTCCTACAGCTGTATGGAGGCCGAAGAAAGATTATGCAAGAAGTGGTTGCTTCCCCTTCTAAACTGGTGGTAGGTTTTGGCAAATAACCAAAATAAATATGCCTCGTTAAACCCGTACTGCCAGTGATCACAAAAACACGTCGGAGTCTAAATCCAAATCTAAATTGTAACTGTATAATCTCTCAGATGGGATGTAAGATACAGGGGTGGTTGGCGGCATTAAACAATGAGAGATCTCAGTGATTTCTAACTGAGTTAGTCCATTGTGCGAGGGAAGAAGGAAGATAGATAACAGTTTTATTAGATTGCAGATTAGATTGGCGGCCAATGAGCAAAGGGTTGCAGTGGAGACATCAACTAGATCGTGTACGATTTTGTACATAAGAGTCAGGCGGGCCATTGCTCTTCGTTCTTCAAGTGACTGCCATCCGGTTGTACTAATCATGTTTGTTACGCTTGACTCCCTATTGTAGTCTTGTAACCAAGCGTGCTGCGCGCCGTTGCACTTTCTCCAGAGACAAAATGTCGCCTCTCTTATAAGGGTCCCATATTACACTACAATATTCAAGCTGCGGTCTCACTAGGGTCTTATTAGCAATATCCTTGATGTGGGGTGAACAGGGTTTCAGGTTACGGCGAAGCAAGCCAAGAGTCCTGTTGGCTCTGGTGGTAATTGAGTTGATGTTATGACTCTAGTCCTAGTCAGTGGACAGAGCAACCCCTATATATTTCTGTATGGTAGACGTCTCTAGTGGCGCGTCTTGTAAATGGCATATAGTTGCCTCTTATGTGACATGTGAAGGACATAGCACCTGGATTTATTAAATTCCATCTGCCATTTGCTCTCCCACTGACATAGGAGTGTTAGATCTTTCTGTAGCTCGAGGAAGTCATCTGGAGAAATGATGATTTTATAAACAAGACAGTCGTCTGCAAAGAGTCTCATATGAGAGTCTGTGTTATTATGGATGTCTTTGATGAAAATAAGAAACAACGGGCCTAAAACGGTGCCTTGTGGCCGGTACACAAGATGTTAATGAGGACCCCTCAGATCTAACGCTTTCCAGGAATACTCGCTGAGAGCGCTCGGTTAAGAAACATCCTGTTCAACCAAGGATAGAACCTTCTAAACCATGTTGTGGTAATTTAATAACAGCCTCTGATGAGGGACCTTGTCAAGTGCTTTACATAAATCCATCATAACTTCATCAGTCTGCTTTCTTTGGTCAAGGTCACTAGCGAGTTCATCGATAAAAGGAGAAGTTGGATGTGGCAGCCACGTCGTTTACGAAAGCTATGCTGAATGTCAGAAAAGATATACCGGTTATTCACTGGCGGGGAGGTCCGTATTGGGAGAAACTGTGCCCGAGGTCTTGCGTACCGCCCTCGGCCGTAGTACTCAGACCGAGCGCACAGTTTCACCCAATACGGACCGACCTAGGCCGGTGAATAACATTTTTATTTTTCCTACTGAGATTTAAAAGTTTCAGGAAAATTTTCCTTCACTCTTTAACCAGACTGCTCTTCAACCGATGTGTGTTGAAGTAGGACGCGCTCGTGTTGATGCGTGATCGATTGCAAACCAAAGCAAAACATTACAACATTTTTGGCTCGGTAATTTATACTATGGCACTTACTTCTCTCTTTTAGAATAAAGAAAGGTTTTTTTGTCTTGCTAGACAATTCATAATCTGAGTGTCAAACAAGGATAAAAGAATTGACGAGCTTGATATTAAAAGTCCCAGGAAATAAATACAGCAAGGATTTTCTTCGGCTAAATAATTCAAAAATTGCTTTAAGATTTGTTCAATCGAGAGGGATGAAAACTGCAGAAAGGCTTTGTAAAAAGAGCTAATTACACATCGCAATTTTTAGGGCTTGAATTGAATTTAAATAAAAGAAGGCGATTTGAGCAACGAGTTATAAAGAAGGAAATGAAAACGGCGATAACCGACTCAGTGCTGGAAAAGTAATTCGTATTGTTTATTAAAGATTGAAAGCTAAATGCAATTATTGACAACAACCTTTTCTGATAAGTAGAAAACTAGCGAGACAAAATTCAGTAAAAAACGGCAGACAAAACCTCGTGATGTCGCTTTAATAAGCTTTATAACCGCGCTGTAAGTACTGCAATCTTGCTTTTATGCACCGTTTATTGGACATTTTTGCTCTGTTTGTAGTTTTGTTTCCATTTTTGCTGTTTGTACACGAGATGAGATGAATCAGGGTCCTGAAATAAGGTCTCTTGTCTTAAACAGGGAAGCTAAATAAACGATTTTACAGGGTCAGAAATTGAAGGCCTTCGCGGCACACCTCTACCCAAGCATCCATTGAGTGCTCCCCGGAGTGGACCCCTGCTTAATATACTTCTTTGCATGCTTGTCTTTCAGGGGAAAAGCCTTCGATTCTCCGGATACCAGATTGCTTATACACTCATTGGTATGAGTCTTTGCTAGTACTTAGGAGCCGGTTAACGTTTGATCAAAGTTGTAGAAAATTGTAATTGAAATAAAATTGTAGCCACAAAATTAGCATCTTATTAGGATCGATCCTGAAAGATATAATACCAGGCTCAACATAATGAGTGAGCTCAGCATGCTTCAGTGTAGAGACTAGATTTATTTTTACGATCTTTTAGCAGTAATAAAAGATATGCTGTTATTTCAGTCGTTTATATTTAACGAAAGAATGGTGTCCACGGACTGACTTATATTATTTAACCTTCTAACCTATTTTAACTTGTCACTGTATAGGCTTCCTCACCTTTGGAACATTCTTAATGTTGTTGTTTAGTATACTTGGATTTTTCTTCAAATATGCAAAGCAGATCTCCCCAGAACTGTGGGCTGAAATAAAAGATCTTGGACTGGCAGTGCTGTAAGTATTATCATTACTGTATTGACTTGGAATTGAAATAGTTTTTTTTTCGGTGGCTAATAATCACGTCGCAATCACAACGGTATACATGTACTTTTGTGGCGTCATGTACAGAGGCAAAATATGGTTAGAGGTATGATAACGATCATGATGAATGAATGAACCAATTAACTTGTTTATATAATTGTCTGGTTATTTAGCTGTCAAGCCAAGTGGAGGCACTAAAAAGCTTTCAAATAGTACTTTAAATAATGTTATAATAATAACGCTCAGATGTAACGCGCTCTGATTGGTTGAAAAAGTGTGCTTTACAAGAGTATAAAAGCCGGAGCTAAAGCTGTCACGCCATCTGCCAATAGTTTGTCTTGAACATTAGAAGGTAATGCGTGGGGATTTAAGGGAATTTTTTTTCATAACACAAATAAAGAAGCGTTACCTGTGTTCTGTTTTGCTGTAAAGCACTTAGGAAGCGGCTATAGCACGAAAAAAGTGTAGGAGGAAACACTCGACTGCCTCCTGTGTTTCCCTCTCCCGGCTACACTTCTTGATTTCGCTAGTCGCTAGTTGAGTGCTTAACAACAATTCAGAGTACAGTCAAGGCTTCTTTTTATGTTACCTTAGGGCCTGTTTACATGGAGGTGGGGGACCTCAGGTGGGTGAGGTAACACGCTTTGGTGGGGTAACCCGCCTGTGCCCACTTATTCAACTACCGGCTCCTTTAGGAGCCAGCCTATACACAAATGTTAGTCGCCATGGGGTGACCCGCCACATGTTACCTCACCTATCTAGGGCCCCCCACCTCCATGGAAACAGACTTAGAAATGTAAAAATTGACGATTATTATAGATCTGAAGATGCTAAAATGGGTACAGGTTAAAAATATAAATTCGTATCGTACCTACAAAACAATCAATATAAAAATATCAAAAAAGTCATTTAAAAGATGGATAGAAAAGGAAAGCCGAAAAGGTATACTTTAGGAGTGATTATATGCTCTAAATATAACAATTTGCACACCTGTCCTCGATTAAATGAGCTAAGTGCCTCTTTCAAATAATGTTTTTGAATAACCGTCTAATGCTTGTAGCCGCTGATTGCTGAGATCACTACCATGATTGGTTACCATCGGTTTTTTTTGTTAACGAGTAGCCTGCGAAGCTGGCGGTTTTTGGTGTGTTTTTCATTTTTGGGAACGATGGGAGAGGGGGGGAGAGAAAAAGACACCTTGCCTTTTTTCTCTTTCTTCTTCCACCATCGTATTAGGGAGCTTTAGCAACGACGATGGCGACGGCAACGAGAACGCCAAAAAAGCAATAGGTTTATTGAGCAAAACAACAAGTTTGCACGTGCATCACCCTTTTTTGGACATTTCTTTGCCGTTACTGCACGACTACGAGTGAAAATGCCTAATTTCACGTTTTATGGAGGACGTAAACAAACGACGACGAAATTTTCTTTCTGTTTCTAAACTTGAGTGCGCTCCCTTAGAAACCAACTCCAGGGAAATTTGCCTGTATTAGATATTTTCAGCGAATTCTCGAAATTGGAATAAACACGACAAAGTTTGAAAAAACGCTAATTCACTATAAAAGTGACGTTTTCGCTTCCGTCGCCGTTGTCGATGCTAAAAGTCCCTTTTTTCGTGAAACACAAGCGAAACAAACACAGACACACCAAAATACCGCCAGCTGCGCAGGCTACTTAACCCTTTAAACCCTATTATCAAAATTCAAATTCTCATCTGTTGTCCCTATATGTTTTCAATAGAAGTAGTGGGCAGAATTTGTTGAAGTATCAATTAGATTCATCTTGTGTGATCAGGTCCTCAATCCTCATGACCACTGTGTTTCGGTTTAAAAGTGACACAGCAGTCTTGACTTTTACTTTTCGCTTTCTCTCCCTTCTTTTTTCGCTTTTCTTGCCTCATTTTTTTCCTCTTGCTGGGCATTTAGTAGGCTTTATTTTGGTGGGAAGAGTTTTTAGGAAAGCTTTTAGGATCTTAGGATTAGGTGAAAGGAAAGGCAGGTGGGTAATGGAACAAGATTTTCATGGAGATTTTCAGGTCAATGTCACGTGGTTTTTTGCTTCTTTCTCCGGTGTCCTTGACTGAATTGCGCTCATTCTGGTATGGTTTGAAAGATCTCTTCCCTCTGTACAAGTTAGCGAAGAAAGTTGTCCTTGACCGTTAAAACTGATGACGTCACAAAGGGTAGAAAGGGCCTGGATCCGCACGGGCGGCTACGGGCGGTTCAGGGGCGAATGGGTTAAAGGGTTAAAGGAAAGCCACCTAGAATGTTTACCAATAAGTGCTGCGCCCAGTGTTCTCTGATTAGTCAGTTCGGGACTTTGAATTGTACTGACATATTTTTCTTGAAGGTAAGGAAAACGTTGTTTCCACCCATTCAGAGCCAAACGATAAAATCTTTGGAATGGGAGGGAGGAAGAGAAATAGAGTCAGCAATTTTTGAAACTGAGGCCGGGGGAAGGCGTGTTTTAGCATGGGCTCTAAAATAGACCTTTTTTGCGAAATAGACATTATTTTCATTACTTACACATTTTGTATGTTCATGTTGTTTGTTTGTCTATTTGCATCTTTCAGACCCTCAATCAGTATGGCTGGGGTCTTGTTGCTCTTTCAAATGTTTCTTGCAACTTGTATTTTCCGTGATGGGGAATTTCCGAATATAACCATCAATGTGGATAACAGGTAATAATAATAATAATAATAATAATAATAATAATAATAATAATAATAATAATAATAATGATAATGATAATAATAACAATGATGATAATAGTGAAATTCTTCTAGAACGCAGCTACATAATCTCAGCGCGCTCTGCAAATGTAAGAAATAAAAAATAATAGATATCCAACCAAATTAAAATTGATTAAATAAAGATGTTTTGAGCTTTCTTTAAAAGAGAAGCAAAGTTTGCGCGCTTTTAATGTCTACTGGCAAGAGTAGGTGCAGCTACAAAGAAAGAGCGAGCACCTTATGCCTGTGTCTGATGATTAGGTTCTACCAATGACAGACCCCTGGATGCAGAACGAAGATTTCCGTTGGGGTGATGGACCTGCAGTAGATCACAAATGTAGGACGGGGCCATTCTATTCAGTGCTTTGCAGGTTATGGTTAGAATCTTAAATACTACGAAGTACTGTTTGGTATAAAAAGGTCTTCTTTTCAGTTCTTCCTTAAACCTCAGTGTTTGATATGCGTTTCACTCTATGGATTTGATAAACTCTATTGTTCTCGAACCGACATTTAACAACCACAGTACTGGATTATTGTACGATGTGAAGAATGATGAAACCCCCGAGACAGCCCCCGGAAATCTGCATAATTCTTCACATCATTCGAATTAAGCCGAATTCACTGGTTGGTTTATTATTCATTTAAATACTAGTTAGAAAGTAGATGACACCCATCGAGCAATCGAGTATGTATTTTTGTTAGCGTATCGTTCAGTTTTAGTCAGAAAATTTCACGTCTTGAGAAAGCCGATGTATTCTATTTTGTTTAGTTTACTCAGTCGTAAACAGCTAGGCTGCTGCCCTCTACACGGCCAGACCGGATATTGCCAGGAAACGAGGCTGCTGAGATAATATACCATCGATCTCAGCCTCAATCAATAATTGCTAAATATTTTAGTCTAGGTCGAGGCTAACCCTGTATAAATAAGTCTTAAGTGCTTTTATTCAGCGGCCACGACGAATTCGAAACTGGATTATTCGCTATGCAACTAACACAAAGGCTAAACTATAAATCTTGAATTATTTTACCCGTAATCAATACTTAAGGTGCTTTCCATTTGTCAGAACAGACCGGCCAGACCATTCCCGTCGTAATGAGAATGTCACTTGTAATGAAAACTATCCAGCCAGATTAGTCAAATCCTAAATAGTATGCACGAAGGAGGTGGTTTTTCAGCAAAAACCCTTTGGAAAAAGACGATTTCATTTGCTCACTGACTGGTCCGGTAATGGTCCGGTCGTCCAGTTCGACAAATGGAAAGCGCCAGTAGAATGAGCCACATTCTCGACTCCAGAGCCTTAAGTTTGGTTTTGTTTTGGACGCGCAGGACTCTACCCTGGTTTTGCTCAAAAGAGGAAGCGCTCTGGAGTCTATGATGATCCAATGAGTGCTTCCATATTCGATATTTCAAGCAAGTAATTGATAAATTTTTACACCTGGATATTTTCGCTTTTTTTTTCAGGCGACTATTCTCCATCATGTCGTACTTCTTTTTCTTCTACAACATTCTTCTTGGAATTTTTTCCTGCACCCTTCGCATTGTGTTTGGGTCGGTTTTGGGAGTTCTGTTTCTTTCTCGCATTGACAGGACGACCTTGATGCCAGGCTATCAGGCTTTCGACCGTGGTAAGTAGAAAACGCTTAAACCTTTCCCTCACGGCACAATAGGGCATAATACATTGGCTTAGTAGTGAGCATCACCCCATTTTTTCTCGAAAACCTGGATTGGCAACGGCTAGGCGTAGCAAGCACAAACATTGTTTCCATGTTTTAAAAGTAGGGTAAAACAGTGGCAAGATTGCATATTTCATTAAAGCTGGTTTTCACTAGCGACAGAGTCGGAGTCGTAACCGTAGTCGTCGAGAGCGTTTATGATCTAGTCTAAGGAAAGTCGTCAACGCGACAGAATCGGAGTCGGAAGAATCAGTACGTTTCCATTTTCTTCTTACTCCGCTTATGACTCTGTCCTTTACCATGAAGTTTCCCTAGTCGGAAGCAGAAGCGGAAGAACAAGCCAGTCACAATGCTTATTCCCACGCTTTGTGATTGGTTCATTTATCCGCTTCTGCTTGCGACTTCGACAACCTAGTGTTTACTTGATCGTAAGTGACAGAGTCCTAAGCGGAATCAGAACGCTGTTTTCGTTAGATCGTAAAGTTCTACTCTTCTGATTACGACTCCGACTCCGTCGCTAGTGAAAACCAGCCTTTACCATGCTTGGTACTCGAACTATGACTTAAGCACAGATCGGGTTGCAAAACTTTGCAAAAATTGGACAATAATGCAGTCGACTCTCCATGTGCAACCACTTCTCCTAAGCGACCACAGATCAAAAACGCCTGATTTTTCCTAGTCAAATGAATTCAGTTAGAGCCTCTCCCTGACGACGGACTCTTGTAAGTGACCTCGACCACTTTGTTGAATGACGATCTTAGAATTTTCCATTGTTTTTATCTTCCTGTAAGCAACGACTTAATGCGTGGTTTGATCTCTATGTTCGTTGTATGTACCACACTAGAAAGAGAATGCGATGTCCTTTCAGTGACAACAGGAAACTGCACATATTGTAAATTAGAAATTGAGTGAAGTGAGTTCTTTTCCAAAATGTAGATGTGTTCGGATCGACGTCTTCTTGAAAGAGACCCCTTGTTTGTCAATTCCTCGTGAGTGAACACCTCCAGCAAACGACCACTAAATCTCGCATTTTAGGTGGTCGCTTACATGTACATACGGGAGAAGCGAGTGTATTATGTAACTATTTTCTTTCTCGTTCAGGTTTTATTGCGTATCTCGGCTTCATTAACGTACTTGTGGCCCACAGCCATCCCGTCATGCTTATGTTCTGTCAACTGCTGATAAACAGAAACAAAGACCGCGGGTCGGAGCAATTCCCCCAAAAAACCAAACATTGTACACTACCTGATTCATCCATGGTGACTGGAAGTGCTCCCGGTATGTAAATTACATATTAAAGAGAGAGCCCTTGCCCGCAAAATCTTTGATAATTAAGTGTCTGCACGATGCCTCTGTTCGCTTGGATTTTTAGTATTATTATACTTTCCTCTTCCTTTTCAACTATCATATATCATTATCATTCGAAGCAAACTTTTCTCTCTTTTCGTTGGCCGAGAGCCCACCCAGTGACCTGCAAATAACTGCCTACAAATAATGGTCTGCTCATGCGCAGTGCCGTCCAACTGTGTTTGGCTGCAAATAATATTCTGCTCATACGTAAAGGAAACCGTGCCTTTCTCCTTCTTGCGATTGCTTTTGCGTGAAAATGGCAGATCGCTTCGCTTCCCAAGGATATTCATTAAAAAACAAACTCGGTGATCGAATGATAAAACAATTATTGAACTCGGAGATCGCAGATCAATTATTTGCCTCAGCTTTCGGACACAGAACAAATCACGATATTTTGCTCAACCTCGTCCAATAATTGTTAGTTATCTGTACTCTAATCTTTCACGATAGTTGGACAATGGTCGAATTTTTAATCTGTCAGTGCCTTTTATTTGACTCTTAAGGTGGCTCGATACAGTTTTTCAGGGTCAATACCTCCCAAGTTTGAGCATAAACTACGTCACCAAAAGCAAAGTTTTGGAAAAATTGCCACCACAGTTGTTTTAGATGAAGATGAAAATTTGTTTTGATCAGGGTTGCAACGGCATCGGAGTTGTCATAGCAACGAAATGACGCTATTACCTATTTTACTTGCAGCAGTATATCTCGGCACTGGGAACTGTTCTTCGAAAATCATTCACAGGACCTTTTTTTCCCAATAGCAGCCTCGACGTTCGTGAAGTTTAAGCGAAATCTGTAAGAGCGTTATCGAGATATTTTGGGATAAAGATTTTGTCGTTAAAAATACTGTAAAAAATGGACAATCTTGGTGTTCGGTTGTTATCTGTAGAAAACGAACCGCTTTTGACATGCAATTTCACCTCATAGTAGTTTCAATCTTTTTAAAAACGTGTGTGAAAGATCAAGGAGATAGCTCCAGCCTTTTGGTAGAAAGAAGGATTTCATTACTATGTATCGAGGCGCCCTTGTTAGCGGTTTTTTGAACATTTTGGTCTACTTTAACAAATTAGCGAATAATTTCTAAACCGCTCGATAGATTTTTAAAAAAATTTAAGATTCTTGAGATTAACCTTCCTTTTATATGACCTTTTAGTTTCAAGATTATTGATATATTGTAAGGCGGTAAAATAAGGGCTACAATTCGTTACTTTTTTGTCGGAAGTTTCGTCATTACAAGTGAAAACCTCTAATTATTCGAGGCATTGTCTCCAAGTTTCATTTTCACGTGAACAGCAGTAACTAACAATGCATTTGAAATATGCAAAAATGCTAGCTATTGTTGCGCACGAAAATATGAAACTTGGACACAATACCCTGAATAATGAGAGGCTCACAGTTGTAAACACAAGCTTTCTGCCAAAATATTAGCGAATTGTAGCCCTTATTTCACTGCCTTACAATGTATCAATAATCTTGAAACTAAAAGGTCATATAAAAGGAAGGTTAATCTCAAGAATCTTAATTTTTTTTAAAAATCTATCGAGCGGTTTAAAAATTATTCGCTAATTTGTTAAAGTAGACCAAAATGTTCAAAAAACCGCTAACAAGAGCGCCTCGATACATACTAATCAAATCCTTCTTTCTAGCAATCGGCTGGCGCTATCTTCTTGATCTTTCACACACGTTTTTAAAAAGATTGAAACTACTATGAGGTGAAATTGCATGTCAAAAGCGCTTCGTTTTCTACAGATAACAGCCGAACACCAAGATTGTCCATTTTTTACCGTTTTTCTAACCACAAAATCTTTATCCCAAAATATTTCGATAACGCTCTTACAGATTTCGCTTAAACTTCACGAACGTCGAGGCTGCTATTGGGAAAAAAAGGTCCCGTGAATGATTTTCGAAGAACAGTTCCCAGTGCCGAGATATACTGCTGCAAGTAAAATAGGTAATAGCGTCATTTCGTTGCTATGACAACTCCGGTGCTGTTGCGACCCTGATCAAAACAAATTTTCATCTTTATCTGAAACAACTGTGGTGGCAATTTTTCCAAAACTTTGCTTTTGGTGACGTAGTTTATGCTCAAACTTGGGAGGTATTGACCCTGAAAAACTGTATCGAGCCACCTTAACAGCTAGTCTTAACTAGATTAAAGAATGAGAAAATCGCGACTTTTTGAAACGCGATAGTCATACTTTCCTCCTAACATCGCGAAATACGGTTTCAGAGTTGACGCAAGCTCATAAGCGACTTTAAGATCCATCGACGCGACCGCAACGAGAACGTCAAATAAAAAAGAGGTTTAATAAGCAAAACAACAACTTTGCACGTGCATCGCACTTTTTTGTACATTTCTTTGCCCTTTTTGCACGACTACGACGTGAAAATGCCTACTTTCGCATTTTGTGGAGAACGTAATTAAACAAGCAACGGCGAATTTTTTTTGTCTTTCTGAACTTGGATATGGTCCCTTGGAACTCAATTTCAGGAGGGTTCGCCTACATTTGGCAACGGATAAGTGGGTAGGAATAATCGCGATAAAGAGTGAAAGTACTCAAATTCAGTTTTTAAGCGACGTTCTCGTTGCCGTCGCCGTTGTCAGATCTTAAAGTCCCTATTAGTGTTGGATCCAGAGGAAGGGCCCAGGGAGCTCGGGTAACCCCTTATTCTTAAACTAAAACCAAGACCCCTAGGGTCTATTTGAGATTATTAATCTTTGACAGTGCCTTACATCTTGCCCCTTATCTTAGTCTTCGTACGTCCGACTACGTCGTCATATTACGTGAACAACCTGAGCTTGATCATATGCAATATTCTTTAAAAGAGAGGGTGGAGTCCGCGCCTTCAAGTCTCAGGAGAGTAGGCTTGCCGTCGGAAAACGAAATCTCTGCGAACAATAATTTTCTCTTGTTCTAGGTGCAATGGGTGTAATAACTCGTGTGCCCCGTCTGCCGCGCCTGTCCCAGAAGGTAGTGAACCGCTGGCTTGTTGCAATGACGCTGCTACGTAACCCTTCCCTCATCAAATATCGCCAGCAGGGTGGAATTGCAAGTACGGTGGCCGTCAGCTTGACTAGTATTCGCGCCGACGTAAGCGCTCTTGTTTAAGTGACTCGCTCTCGAAGGAAAGCTGTTCCAGGTGAACTTTTTCAAACTGGGAATATTGCTCATTCATTGTTATCATGGATTGCAGTTGGTGGCTTGGAATCTGTTTAAGACATGGCGATCAGTTGCCATTGGTGCGGGGATTGTGAACAAAGAGTAGAGTGTGGGATATTTATATGAATATGGTAAATTCCATCAGGATTCTAAAAATTATAAATAACCTACTATCCTCACAACTAACTACAGTAGGACAATTGCACGATGACGTCATTTTACTACAACTACCAGAATCCTTGAGTTTGTTGTTTTCTTGTGTAAATTAAGGCTATTGTTCTTTAATCCTCAGTGGGATTGACAAATTTAAATAACAAGGCAAAAGCGAAATGAATTCTGGTATTTGTAGTCAAATATCGTCATCATGCAATTGTCCTATTAAGCTAACTAAAGCCGGTTTTTTCATGAAAATGCCGTATATACTTATATTAGAAATTAAAGATGAACTAATCGTTTGATGTGACTTAGAGATTTAGTCTCTGTCATATCACAGAGCAGCAGGCTCATGTTCAAGAGAACTGCTCCCCTATAACTAAAGCTATTCTTCATGAAGTTAGTTCGCTGGTACGCGACGATTAGTTTGTTAACAGAATCCCTCAGGGAGTAGCGCGCTTCATTTCGTTTAACAACTGTAGGGACAAACCATTAGAAAACTTATGTGGCGTGAAGGCGGGCGAAGTACAAAAAAACAAATATTCGCACAAGGGGAAATTGAACAAAAACAAATTCACATGCACCCCAAGTAATCCTAAAAAAATATTCATGCCCTGACCTAAAAAATTCATACAAGGAAAATGTTAACAAAAAATAATCTATGTATCTCAAAAAATCCCCCTTCCCTCCCCCCACCCCCGCCATAACTTTGTATAAGTTGTCCGTCATTTAGAGGAAAGATATTTAGGAACAAGATAATTAGGTGCTAATGAGGTGCTTTTGGGAACTCCCTAGCCATCAACAGCTCTCTTCCTCATCTGGCGAACTTGTTAACGGGTGAGCGTGTTTGTCTTTTGCGGAATTCAATTCAACCTCTTTTTAGAAGTTACATACTTTCCGAAGTTGATGTAATCCTTGGAATCAGTAAGCCACCTTAAAGATTCGCTTCTTTATAATCACCTCAATCTTCTCTCGTAACAGTACATTTATAGCTGTGAACTTAAGAATACTACACCGACAAAAGTTGTGTTTTAAGCAAAGGTGAAAGCATTTTTTTAAAAATGGAGCGTCGGATAGCGAAAGAGAGAACTCTCCTTTCATTTCAAGAAATGGGATAAGCTCCTAACACAGGGACATCATCTCAAACACCTTTAACTGCTATAAACATTATCATATATCATCATCATTTGAAATAATTATATTTATTAGTATTTCGTTTGCGGAACTATAACCTTCTACCTTTAAAAAAAACGACAAGAACGCTGTTAAGAAAGCTTTAAGTCTCGCTTGCTTGGAGGTTAGATAAGAAATGAGGAGGCGATTAATTCTACACAAAACAGGATTTCCTCGCTAAACGTTTTTAAAATTAATAAAAATGATACCACGCATTGCCTTTCTTTTTATACTGTAAACTAATCGAGCAAACCGTCATTCGATCAACTTATAAGCCTAGTATATCATCCAATGATCCGAAAAACCGCTGAAGGTAATGACTGCGGACGAACAACAGCGGCTAATACAGAGAATAAAATAATAATACAGAGACTCTTTTTTCTTCTCGGAACTTCGTGCCTCGGTCGGAAACTTTCCAAATGCTTCGGGCGACGTTCGTTCCCCTGACCAAGCATTAAATAATATTTTACCAGGTTTGTAGCACTATCGCATGACGGGTTGATAGGTCAAGTTAAAAGTCGATTCCACAGTAAACAGAGGCGACTCGTGCGATCGACAGTAAAGTTTTCACTTCGCTCGCCATCACAGATAACTCCTCTGCGCCCTGTGCTTCACAGCAAAGGATTATATTGTACTAAAAATTAATGGGGGCCACACCTTTGCCTAATAAATTTGTCTGGTAGCTTGCTGTAGATTTTCCAGACATTTGTTTGCAGTTTTTTATGGGCAATTTTAGACGGCAGGAGGAAAAAAATTTACCCCCAACACTGTATATTTTCACGCGGTTACCTAGCCTTCAAGATGGCCTCCAAAACTGTTATTACTGACCGTAGGATTCGATTTAGGGCCGTCCTTCCAATAAGAGCCCCATTTCGATTAGCCCCACCCCCTTTTGAATGTGTTTTTGTTAATATTAGAGTACGGGTACCAGGAGCATCCAAAGGGAATTTTCGGAAAATATCTGTTCCTAAGACCATTTGAGATCTAGAATTTTCGGAACATTTGTTGTAAAAATTGTTGGTTGCCTGCCTCTACTAGGATCTTCGAACATATAAAAAATGGTATAATTGCCCATTTTAAGCGGTTTTTTACCCTAAAAAGGTCATCTAGAATTTTCGGGAGCCTTTATTCTGGCTGAAATTTTCGAAAAGGTAACTTTTGATCCCTATAATTTTCAGAACAGGTGAAAAATTTTTAGGACATAAAAGTATGTCTTCATCAACCGTTTAAATACTAAAATACGTTCATCAATGCTATGTTTAAGCGGTTTTGAACTATATTCTCGTTGGGTGCCCCTGGGGTACGTATCAACCGAGGTTCATCTTCCTTTAATTGCTCACAAACAAGCGGTAATGCCACATTACAAAAACAGTGGTCTCATGTCCATGTGAGTGCATTAAATTTTTCAGACAAATAATCTCTTCTTCAAATTTTGCGGCGATTGCTCGGCTGGTCGTTCTGGCGAGGAAGGATCCAAGGACAACAAGTCCGTTTTCCAGTCTCCTTGACTTGCATTTTGTTCTCACTGCGGGCTTTTTTTAAGAAAGGTGAATGTAAGGAAGGAAAGTTTCATCGGCACATGCCCAACAAGTTTGATATCAGCTTAAAGGTAAGTCCCTCACGTTAACTGAACATTCACCGTCAGAGCAGTATTTGTTACTGTTACAGTTTCTGTTACTGTTCGTTTTTAAAGAAATATTAATTTTTTTTTTGACATTTGATTGTTTCTCAAAAAAGAAATAAGCGCCCTGTACCGAATAAGTGCCCTCCGAATCATTACGGTAAGACTATTTTTTTACTTGTCACGCGCTTAAAACATGGTTCGAGTTATTAAGGGCAAAATTAAATAGAAATGATCTGAAGAGAAACAAAAACTAGTATTACTTTGAGTTAGCGCGAGTTTCGAGTCAGTAGCGAGGGCTCGAGTTAAGGGAGTCGACTCTACACATGTATATCCTTTTTAAAAGCTTTCCTCTCACTCTGCGTATTAGAATATTCCGTGTTTTGTTTTAGAACATTCTGTAAATTCCGTGTTTTAGTATATTCCTTATATTCCGTATTATAGAATATTCCGGTTATTCCTCCATTCCGTTCCATCATTCCTTCATTTCTCCAAATAGGGTCACCCCTCTCGCATGGCTTTTAGCGTGTACGAAGTTATTCGCGTGGCTTGTCTGCGGAGAGTAATCAAACCAACTATGCGACAGACAAGCCACGCAAATGACCTCGTAAACGCTAAAAGCCATGCAAGATAGAAACCTCTGCTCGCAGCGGTGCAAGTCCTACTGCCATTTCTGGATTTAGAAAACACCAAAACAATTGCAACATAATTGATGATGGAAATGGAAATGATTTTAAAATTACTACAATTAAAAATGTTATCGTATGCGTAGCATTTTTCGTTTCGTTTGCCTGAGTGAGTCGAGACAATAAGGGTCCTTTAGTGCGCACACTATGTCGTCCTCTCGACTGGAACCAACAAAATCTTCCTTTCAGTTTGTGCACTCGCGGTGGGAGCTGTTTTAAAAATGTACACAGTTATCTGATGAATAAAAGCAAGTTAATTTAGACGTTTGTACTTAGAGCTGTGAGTTATTACTGAGTTTTTTGTTGTTTTCAAATTTCACTGACATCATTTTTTTCCAACAGTCTGGTCCTGTCTACTCAGATATACAGGGAACAAACGTCAAAGTTAGTCTTCGATCAGTCCAACAAGAAAAATCCTGCCCACTTTTGATTTTGCAGTTTCGGTGATGTTTTGCTTCGTTTCATTCAGTTGATCATGAATGCGCATTTTAATTCAACAACAGCACAATGTAAATAAGATTTATTTCAATTCTGGGAGGGACGCTGGAGCTGTAGTTTGATTTTTAACACAGTCTCTATCCTTAACTTTGAAAACTGGTATTCTATAAAATCGTCTACTGTTGCAGTTTTAGGTAAGCAGAGGTGCAGGTTTAACAAGCTTAACTTCAAAACCACCGGGCAATTGAACAGTATTGCAGCTGGCTTCTTGTGAAATCGGCGTGAAAAGCCTCTACATTGACCTTCAAAATGTCGGACGCTTCCGCGGTGAATGGTACTTCTAATACGATGTAAGTAAAACAGGTCTTTGTTATCGAAACGAGTTGTGTAAACTAGAAGTCTCTATTCATTTCTACTGAAATTCCCTTCTTCTAGCCTAAACTTCATCCGATTGCTTCGAGTCGTTTTCTCCTCAGTCTCAGCAACACGTTACTGAGGGACACGGAGACTCGAAGTAATCGGATGAAATTCTGCTTGCTTCATTGAAAACAAACGCGTGTGTGCTCACCTAGCTTAATTTAAAGCTAGTAGCAGAATTTTGGATACAAGTGGCGAGATAAGGAGTAACTGAGTCAGTTCATACGATATTCCAGACACCGAAAGGAATTAAGGGTACCACTGACTTTGAGGTATCTCCATATCGGATGAAAAACTTTTTCAAGTGTTGATTTAGCCTCTCAGATAATTAAAAACTTTAAAATTAACTCATGTCATGGTGAGATCAACATTTTTTGGTAACAAAGCTAAGCTGAAATTTAAACTAAGTTGTATTCTCGGTCGTCTTTTCGTATCACGCGATGTGGGGTAATCCGGATTCCGGAATCAGATAAATTTTTGCTTGTGAAATCTGGAATCCTTGGCTTCGGAATCTGGAATTCAGTTCAAGGAATCTGGGATCGCGCTAACAATTGGAATCCGGAATTCAAGATCCATTGACATGGAATCGGGAATCCACAGCGTGGAAATCAGAATCTAAGACTGTCTTAGATTACCTTGGGAAACTGCCCATCTACCCCTCCCCTAAGCCAACATTAACACTTACTTCTCATTTAGGGCAAAATGTTGGCTTAGGGGAGGGGTAGGTGGGCAGTTTCCCCAAAAAACGTATAATGATCCATGGGGCGATTTCGTATACTTCAGGAACTCTAAACAACCGAATGTTTCCAAATACGGTAGAAGTGTCTATCGTTTTCTCTCTGCTTTAGAAGCGTGTTTGGTTGACTTGGAAAGGTACTAAAAACTATTTACATCTGCTCGGCTGTCTAAGGCGAACTTTGGTCTTTTCGAAAGTTTAGGTGGAACTTTCGTCTCATCCAAAACGCCTTTATGAGTCCAGTCGAAAGATGGAGGACATGGAGTAGCCTTACTTTCGCGAGAAAATTCTAGGGGACGCTTGATGGTTATAAAAAAATAAGCCAGGGATTTAAGCCAATCATGAACGGAGTATTATTTTAAAGGAATAACAATGCATTAATTTTATGGGACTTTAAAATCACCTGAGAGTGTAGAGGTGTGTAAGTTAATTTACATGCATACTTTAAATAATAAATTGATTAAATTGAAAATTTGCGCAAACGTTGCTCGTTTTATTAAAACAAAACAGATTCAAACACTGAAAAAAGGTACCTTATTCCTCTCCAGGTGCAAACCAACCATTGATCTAACGACGTTCGAACTGGGATGTCTCGGCCCAGCTGTGAGTAATGGCTCGATATTTTCCGTCTGCGTTTGGTTTTACTTAACATTAGCAATAACGGTTAAAATTTTGTTGTTTACATGTATCTGAGTACCCAAGTATTGCTTTTCGCATTACCTCAAGATTCCCTTTATTTTCCTCGACAGCTTGCCATTATTGTGGTTCTGTCATGTCTCAAACGAAGAAGCAAATTGAAACTTGAATACTGCCATGGTTATCCCGGGCTCTTGATGTAAGTATTACCTTCTTTACAGTTGTATTCTCTGCACAGTTAGTATATGACATATATTGTAAAATATTTTCTTTTTTTCTTTTTTTGTTTTCAGACCAGTCAACTTTTTACGCAGTTTTAGCTACAGCAACAGGTTTACCATTGCTGCTACGTTTGGAGCCACGGCCAATTCTTGCCTAAGCCTTTTTTTTTTCTTTCACTCCTGTCGCATTCGCCTTCTCGAGTGTTCCTGGTTGGTTGAATGGTGAGAAAATGGTATTATTCATTCAAAATATTTCCTACTTTAAAACATGCTTATCCCGATCGATGTAAAGTTCCCGTCTTCATAATTAACATTTGCCTTTTCCTCGGCACTTTCTTTATACAAAAGGATGTTCATTCTCACAAATATTCCTTAGACAGTGGTTGTCATCCAGAGAGTGGTGTTTTTGCTATTCTTGCGATGTCTTTATGCGGTAATTCGGATTTTTCGTCTTCGGATAACTTGCCAAACCCTCCGCTATTTTCTCCAGCTCTGAACTGCCAAAGCAGCTGTGCGACCGCGCCGCTGTCTGTCTCTTTTTCTGTCAATAACTAAAATTGAAGTCACTTCTATTGATTTCGGCAAACATCTCCCAAATTTGGTCAATGCTAGTTGGTTATGAAGAATCAGCCGGGAGGTTAAACTAGAAGCCAATCAGAAAAGGCGAAATAGTTTGAATGAATAATAGTACTGATCATTAAAAGTAACTGTCAACTACAACCTCGGACAAAACGTGTTGAGAAACATCACAAAAAATAACCATTTTTTTTTTTCAGTCATCCTGGCAAAAAATGGAAACGGTCACCAAATAAATGCCCGTTTCCCCCCTCCCCTTATCCAATGTTGCTTAGGGTCACGAGAATTAAACTGTGGGCTTTTGACCAAAACAACATTAATAGAGGGTGGGAGCTTTCATCTCCGTCCGTCAGTTCAGGATATACCAAAGTCATTATCCAGACTCCATTTGAGATAAGATCGGTTTTATTTTGAATTTATTTATTTTGATAATTATAATTTTGTACTTTAGGGTACGTTCATGTGAAGTTTAATTTTACAATTTCTTTCAGTTTTTGTGAAAATATTTTCTGTTCTTGTGTATGGAATACTGTTCTACCCATTCTTTGCGTGCCTTACAACTGAATACAAGCTGGTTGGATCATCTTTTGGATTTCTTTATGCTGCTATAAGGTTAGACAATGCCTCGTGATTTAACGATAAGGTTGTAAATGAATCCTAACTGGTTATCGACTTGTGTATAATATGGGTCCTTATGACTTGCTGTTGATGCTGGAGTGTTGCGTGTCGACGGACGCAATTCTTTTGAACTGCTGTTTGCTTCTTCATCATGATTTTTCGCTGAATTCAAAGTTAAAGTAAAAAAGTATATATGTTGGAAAAATTTCTCCTCGATTCAACTATTTAAATTATCCTAGAGCTGGGAAATACTCTCGGGGCGTAGACGGTTGATCAAGCCAATCCAGCTGCTCGAAAGGTTCTTTGAGAGTTTGAAAAGTTTCTCAAGGTCAATGGAAAAGACCTGGCCATCAATGACACTTTCAGAGTACCCTTGCAGCGCTATTCTGGCCTCACTGGGAGTTCAAGTGGTGCTAATTTCGGCATACTTAAGTCACGAAAAGATAGAACTCTCATTAGATATAGCCTTTGATGAGATCTGCAAGTTGATTAAATGAGGCTGAGTATGATATCGTCAAGACTTTTTCAGATCGAGGAGGCTGGCGGGGCTTCGGCGGATAACAGCCTCCTAGTTCTGTATATTCTTTATATCATGGGAAAGTTTGATTCAGTAAGTGTTTTCAATAGACCTTTTTACCGATACGGCGGCCATGTTGAATTAATTCGATTTAAGGAGTATTATGGGATGCCCAGGGGGGCATGAGCACATTTCGTCTGTATTTTTAAGTGCTTTTCGGGACATTTTTTCTTAAAGTTTTCTTAAAATAAAATTGTAACGGGAAAAAAGATCCCTGTGCCGTGTTTGGATGTAATAATGATCGCCTTTTTCCCGAGAAATATACAGTGAAAGACCATATTTCTAATACTAAACTAGAAAAAGGCGATCATTATTACATCCAAACACAGCACAAGGATCTTTTTTCCCATTACAATCTTATTCTAAGAAAACTTTAAGAAAAAATGTCCCGAAAAGCGCTCAAAAATACAAACAAAATTTGCTCATGCCCCCTGGGCATTAAATCGAATTAATTCAACATGGCCGCCGTATCGGTAAAAAGGTCTATTCAAAATATTTCTAATAAGTTCCTGACATCATGTCGCGAACTCAAATCCTGGTACACAGCTAGGGGACGAGAACAAGGATTTCGGCGCTGGCTCGCAGACGGACTTGGCCGGAGGTTTAGTTTTTTAGTCAGTGGTACAGATACATAACCTGTTTTGCCGTTTTCTTGAGTTCTATACTCATGACAATGAAGCTACCACCACTGTGCTGCTGACTTGTATGTTGATGATAAAAAATCATTGTTCCCAGGGTGACTGACGTCATCAATAATTTTTTATTACCCGCATCGTCCAAATGACGTCATGACGAATGGGATGTCGTGCCCCTGGAGACATGTGACGTTCAAAATGGCTCTTATCTTTCTATTTTTGTTACTATTCCATCGATGTCTTTCACCAGTCATGTCACTTATTACGAAATATATCGTAACAGAAACTACTGAATGTAAGTTTTTGATGGTTTTTCGATTTTTAAGTAGATGGCGTAAAAGTGAAAAATAAAACAGCAATATCGACTGCGTGTGTAATCCTTTTGCTAAATTACGCAGCCATTAATAGTGATAGGAGGTAAAAACAAATGAATTAAAACACGCTTGTTTCTGGAGTCGAAGCCAAAGCTAACCGTAGAACCTTCGTTAACCAACCTTTGTTAGATCAGAGTCATGGATTTCGTTCAAGGGCCTTTTCTGTATTACATAATACTCCATGTTATCTTTCCACTTTTAACTTCTATTTTTGTGTGTTTTTAGGTTCTGTTTCGATCTTGGAATTTATTTTCAATGTGAGAGTTATTACAAAGTAAGAAAGTATATTGAGCCTAATACTACTTATCGCTAGTCTAGTTTCAGGCGAAGAACTCGTTTTATTACGCTGGTCCCTTATGTATCATATTGGTTGGATGGATGGATGGATTTATTGTGATCACCCGATCGTCAATACTTGACAATAACGCCTTTTATTTCATATATATGACTGAATGATGAAGCGAATCATGTGTTCTGATTGGCTCCCTGGGCGGGCAAGATGGACCCAAATTTTAAAATGCGTCCGCGAGAGTACCGCAAACTTGTCATGTCGAGAGCGAGCGCGAGAGAGTCGACAACTTCTTCATTTCGAGAACAAAATACATGTTGTAACAAAGTTTAAGATATTCATAACATTTCACAAAAACCAGTTATGCGAGGGGCTCTCAAGCATTGAAAACATCGGCCTTCAACAAATAATATTATTTTGAACATGACGTGGCTGTTTAACGCAACGTCGTGCAATTGCATTTTGACAAGGATCTTCTGAAATGTATTTTTATTGTTCACTTCATTTTAGGGTGAAAGCAGGAATCTGCTTTATATTGGGTTTCTGAGCTTCCTCCCAACCATCTTGTGTTTGTTGTTCATCACTCTACGATTTGCTGTTTTGCTCATCCTGGAAGTCCGAAGAAAGTGGTTCTTGACCATAAACGGCGACCAAGAGGTTATATTAGTTTACGAGTTACTCTTTTGTATGCAAGCAAATTCTCACGCCTATTAGAATCGCTCCTCTTACAACACTAAATGATCTTGAATTGTATAAACTTTCATATTTCATGGCCGTCAAGTAGAACTAAAATTTATTAATCTGGTGTGTTTTAACGGACTCTTGCAGAGGGCAGTTAAAACCAGTGAGATGTGTTTGGCTGCAGAACCTGTAATAAAACATGTCAAGCAGATACTTACTCCAGGATTAAACAGGTGCGAATTAATGTGGCCCAAACCAGTACTTTTGTAGGTACACCTTCCGTCTATTGCCTAATTTCATACCGCGAGGGGACCTGGCACTACCGTACTCTCTCGGACGGCTTTTAAAATACGGATTTTTCTCGCTTAACATGTCAGCTTAAGCGAAAAAATATTTGCACCGCATGTTTGTAAAGATTTTCCAAGCTTTAGCCGACGAGGGAATGGGTAAATAAAGTAAACTTTTGAGTTGAAAGCTCAAAAGCTTTTCCAAATTCGTGCTTGCCTTGTGTGGTTAGCGCGCGAAAAGCAAAACACCTTGACGTCATAACCATGTTTACATACTCTCATGCAAACACGCCTCTTGGCCAATCAGAGCGCGCGTACTATCTTAGTTATTTTATAATAGTAGTATAACAAGCTTTGTTTCTGTGCACTCGATTCGCATGTAACTTGTGACTTTGTACCACTTAACTCCCTGCAATCTAAATTAATTTAGTATGATGGCAACACAGTGGTGATTCATTAATTGTACAAATTAAAATGACCCAGTGAAAAATGAAGGGATTGGAAAGATTACCTTTTCCGTTTTATTGAAGATCTTAGTAGAAGGAATAAAAAAGTGATTTCAACTAAAAGATATAATCAACACAGAGTGAAATGAAGAGTAATTTTTCTTGAAGTATAATTTGGTTACAGAGCTTATTTTCACTTGTTATTCCCCTCGTTTATGTTTGGAAATGAACGGATCTCTTAATTCCTCGATGTACTTCCTGCCTGCATGTTTCATTACTGATCGATTTTGTATACACTTAAGTTATAAAAATAGGGGGACTCTATCGCTGAAATAATATTCAGTCTACACTATAAAGCTGAACCTTTTCTTTTGCCTCACCTGTTTCGTATCTGCCCTTTGCTCTGATCTACACAGGTTTCATAGTTACTGGAGCTTTATAATATGGGATGGCTTTTGATTTGCAGGGGATCCTTTCACATACCATAGTTAGCCTCACGGACCTTACGATGTTGCCCTTTCACTCTGGCGTGTTTCGCATTTTGGTAGTCGTTATTTTACGGTTCGTAATAACAGTTACATCCACTTCCATGTCATTCCCAACTATTTCGTCCCATCCAGCGCTGCGCAAAAGCTAAAATCGACGGTAATTTGCTCAAATTTTTTTGTTAAACAATTCAGGAATCCTTCGAAGACTTCCAACCAGAGAAAGTCTCTCGATAACATCTTTCTTTTCTCGAAGTTTTTAATCGAAGTTCTTTGTAGAAATAAAGCAACTGTTTCTTGCTAAGTAAACTTGCCCTTAATATCGTTTCAACTGCATGCAATGACCTTTTCTTTACGTTCTATTTTGGAAGCCATTTTGAATCCGGAATTTAAAAAGTAAACACCTGGTAGTGCCAGGACCCCGAAAATGTAATGACAACATCATGCTCAAACTAAACCAATGGGCGAAAATACCATAAGTAACATAACGAAAACAACCTGTAGCTGGTACTAGCCTCGAAGAAAGTGCGAAAAAAGTTCACGAATCACAGTGCAAGAAAAATAACAGTCAGCAATCTGAAGAAAGCAAACCGATTGTACGCTCAAATAACGTCAAAGTCACAGGCCGCAGAAGCTTAAATTCCCGCGACGACTACGATGAAGCCGTGGAAGAAGAGCGACGACCACTCTCTCGTGCCGATCCTGCAAACGAAATTATGAAAACCCCAGCGCTGAGAACAAGCAAATATTGGCAGTTTCCGATATCATTGTGGCTCCTCTTGCCCGTCGATGGCAGTGTCGATAGAAAACTAATGACCTTCATTTTCGGGTTTTAAATCTCCAAATGAAAATTTATCCATGAATCCAGCCATGAGGAGGACTCAGGAACAACTTCCCTCAAGTGTGTCTTTCATCTTTGGCTGCTCGAAGCGTTCTCCAGACTTCGAAACGGCA